ATGATAAGCACTGGGCTCTGATTTTAATTTTTTTTTATTTCAGTTCTTGTTATAGTGGAGGTTCTTCTAAGCTGATGCGAATTTTGACGAATGTGCTGTGATGCAATGATTGTAATCAAAGGGATCTGGTTTCACAATGTTTTGGAATGCTTGAGCTTTAATTGATGGATGGTTTGTAAAGTTTTTTTTACGTTTGTTGATTACTTGTCAATATAATGCCGTCAAGTGTTCTTCTTTTGCCATGACGAAAATCGCTGAAGAGGATTCTGCATGTTGTCCTAAAAAGTGTCTGATGTTTTTTCTTTTTTTAGAGAAAGTGATGAGAAATGTGCTTTTTGATGCAATGATGATAAGCACTGGGCTCTGATTTTCAATTTTTTTTTGCATTTCAGTGCTTTTTAAAGTGTAGGTTTTTTCAAGCTGATGAGCATTTTAACAAATGAACTCTGATGCAATGATGGTAAGCAGTGGGATCTGATTTCATAATGTTTTAGAAAAAGTTTGAGCTTTGTTTGATGGATGGTTTGTAAAGTTTTTTTTTCGTTTGTTCTTTCCTCGTCATTATAATGATGTCAAGTTTAGATTTTGTTACAATGACGACAATCGCTGGTAAGAATAATTCTGTCAAGTGTATTTTTTGCTGCAATGACGACAATCGCCTCAGTTTTTAGGTCAATATTTGTTCTGAGTTTGATAGAAGGTCTGTAAAGAGTTTTTTTTGTTTGTTGATTCTTTCTTGATAATGCCTTCAAGTACAATTTGCTGCATTGTCGCCAACCACCGGTAGGGGTTTTGAAAGTTTTCATAGGATTTTTCTCGATGTGAATTTTTTTTGGTAAATTAAAAATGATGACAAATGTGCTTTTCGATGCAATGATGATAAGCACTGGGCTCTGATTTTAATTTTTTTTTAAATTTCAGTTCTTGTTATAGTGGAGGTTCTTCTAAGTTGATGCGAATTTTGACGAATGTGCTGTGATGCAATGATTGTAATCAAAAGGATCTGGTTTCACAATGTTTTGGAATGCTTGAGCTTTAATTGATGGATGGTTTGTAAAGTTTTTTTACGTTTGTTGATTACTTGTCAATATAATGCCGTCAAGTGTTCTTCTTTTGCCATGACGAAAATCGCTGAAGAGGATTCTGCATGTTGTCCTAAAAAGTGTCTGATGTTTTTTCTTTTTTTTTTAGAGAAAGTGATGAGAAATGTGCTTTTTGATGCAATGATTACAAGCACTAGGCTCTGACTTTCGTTTTTGGCCAATATTTGAGTTTAGTTTGATTGATGTATTGTAAAGAGTTTTTTGTTTATTTTTTGACTCTTTCGTCATAATGCCTCTAAGCGTACGTTTTGCTGCATTGTCGCCAGTCACTGAAAATTTCAATGTTAATCTTTTACCAATGAAAGAGTTGACAAATGTGCTTTTTATGCATAGATACAAAGCACTGTGCTCTGTTTTGGTTTTTCTTGAATTTCAGTGCCTGTTAAAGTGGAGGTTTTTGTAAGTTGATGCGGAGTTTGATGGAAGGTTGTAAAGAGTTTTTTTTCTCTTGTTGATTCTTTGTTTTTATAGTGCTGGCAAGTGTGCTTTTGCTGCAATGTCGACAATCGCTAGAAAGGCTTCTGAAATTTTTCTTAGGAGTTTTTTTTTCGATGTTTTTCTTTTTCCAATGAAAGAAACCGCAAATGTGCTTTTTGATGCAATGATGATTAGCGCCGGGCTCTGATTTTCCTCTTTTGGTGAATTTCAGTGCTTGTTATAGTGGAGGTTCTTCTAAGTTGATGCGATTTTTGACGAATGTGCTGTGATGCAATGATTGTAATCAATAAGATCTGATTTCATAATGTTTTGGAATATTTGAGCTGAGTTTGATAGAAGGTTTGTGAAGAGTTTTCTTTGTTAGTGGAATCTTTCTTTATAATCTCTCCAAGTTCAGTTTGCGGCATTTTCGCCAACCACTAGAAAGTCTCCTGAAATTTTTCTCTACAATTTTTTTGATGTAGTCTTTCGATAGAATTGATGACAAATGTGCTTTTAGATGCAATGATGAGAAGCACTGGGCTCTGATTTTCAATTTTTGGTCAATATTTGAGTTAAGTTCGATAGATGGTTTGTAAAAAGTTTTTTTGTTTGTTGACTCGTTCTTTATAATGCCCTCAAGTACAACTTGCTGCATTTTCGCCAACCGTTAAAAATTCTTCTGAAATTTTTCCCAACACTTTTTTTAATGTTAGTCTTTCAATAGAATTGATAACAAATGTGCTTTTAGATGCAATGATGAGAAGCACTGGGCTCTGATTTTCCTTTTGGTTTGTGATTTTCAGTGCTTTTTATAGCGGAGATTCTTCTAAGCTGATGAGAATTTTCACCAATAAGCTCTGATGCAATGATGTAAGCTGTGGAATGTTTGAGTTTTGCTTGATGGACGGTTTGTAAAGAGTTCTTCTTTTTTTGATTCTTTGTCATTAAAATGCTGTCAAGTGTACATGTTTTGACATTACGAAAATTGCTGAAGAGAATTTTGAAAGTTCTTCTTATGACTTTTTTAATTTTATTTTTATGACAGTGATGACATATGTGCTTTTTGATGCAATGATGATAAGCACTGGGCTCTGATTTTCAATTTATTTATGTTTCACTGCTTGTTGAAGTGGAGCTTCTTCTAAGCTGATAAGAAGTTTGACACTTCAGCTGTGATGAAATGATTGTAAGCAATGGGATCTAATTTGATAATGTTTTGGAATTATTGAGCTTTGTTTGATGGAAGGTTTGTAAAGAGTTTTTCTTTCGTTTTTTCCATGTCATTATAAGCCGTCAAATGTACATATTTTGCCTCTAATTGTTCGTTTTGCTGCATCGCCGCCAATCGCTGGAAAGGCTGCTGAAAATTTCGATGTTAATCTTTTACCAATGAAAGAGTTGACAAATGTGCTTTGTTATGCATAGATACAAAGCACTGTGCTCTGTTTTTGTTTTTTTTCTTGAATTTCAGAGCTTGTTAAAGTGGAGATTTTTGTAAGTTGATGCCGAGGTTGATGGAAGGTTGTAAAGAGTTTTTTCTCTTGTTGATTCTTTGTTTTTATAGTGCTGGCAAGTGTGCTTTTGCTGCAATGTCGACAATCGCTAGAAAGGCTTCTGAAGTTTTTCTTAAGAGTTTTTTTTCGATGTTTTTCTTTTTCCAATGAAAGAAACCGCAAATGTGCTTTTTGATGCAATGATGATGAGCGCCGGGCTCTGATTTTCCTCTTTTGGTGAATTTCAGTGCTTGTTATAGTGGAAGTTCTTCTAAGTTGATGCGATTTTTGACGAATGTGCTGTGATGCAATGATTGTAATCAATAAGATCTGATTTCATAATGTTTTGGAATATTTGAGCTGAGTTTGATAGAAGGTTTGTGAAGAGTTTTCTTTGTTGGTGGAATCTTTCCTTATAATGCCTTCAAGTTCAGTTTGCGGCATTTTCGCCAACCACTAGAAAGTCTCCTGAAATTTTTCTCAATACATTTTTTTGATGTTAGTCTTTGTTCAATTGAATTGATGACAAATGTGCTTTTTGATGCAATGATGGGAAGCGGTGATTTTCATTTTTGTTTTTGAGTTTCAGTGCTTTTTATAGCGGAGATTCTTCTAGGCTTATGAGAATTTTCACCAATAAGCTCTGATGCAATGATGTAAGCTGTGGAATGTTTGAGTTTTGCTTGATGGACGGTTTGTAAAGAGTTCTTCTTTTTTTTGATTCTTTGTCATTTAAATGCTGTCAAGTGTACATGTTATGACATTACGAAAATTGCTGAAGAGAATTTTGAAAGTTCTTATGATTTTTTTATTATTATTTTTATGAAAGTGATGACAAATGTGCTTTTTGATTCAATGATGATAAGCACTGGGCTCTGATTTTCAATTTATTTATGTTTCACTGCTTGTTGAAGTGGAGCTTCTTCTAAGCTGATAAGAAGTTTGACACTTCAGCTGTGATGAAATGGTTGTAAGCAATGGGATCTAATTTGATAATGTTTTGGAATTATTGAGCTTTGTTTGATGGAAGGTTTGTAAAGAGTTTTTCTTTCGTTTTTTCCTTGCCATTATAATGCCGTCAAATGTACATATTTTGCGTCTAATTGTTCGTTTTGCTGCATCGCCGCCAATCGCTGGAAAGGCTGCTGAAAATTTCGATGTTAATCTTTTACCAATGAAAGAGTTGACAAATGTGCTTTTTTATGCATAGATACAAAGCACTGTGCTCTGTTTTTGTTTTTTCTTGAATTTCAGAGCTTGTTAAAGTGGAGATTTTTCTAAGTTGATGCGGAATTTGGTCGAAGGTTTTAAAGAGTTTTTTCTGTTGTTGATTTTTTGTTTTTACAATGCTGTCAAGCGCACGTTTTTTTGCAAGGACAATCTTTGAAAAGAATTCTGGAAATTCTCATTAAAATGTTTTCGTTGTTGTTCTTTTTGCAATGAAAGTGCTCAAAAATGTGTTTTTTTGATGCATTGATCATGTGATATTCCAGTGATTTTTTTTTGTGAATTTCAGTGCTGGTTACAGAGGAGTACTGGTTCGAGACTGCTTTGTTTAAGCAATAGATTGGTTTGTTCGTTTTTCAAATAGGGCTTCAAGTTTTGGAGATAAGTTCATTTAAAGGTTTTAAATGTCGTTTTAAAGGTTGTTACGTTTCCGGTATTATTGTTTCTGTAGAAATTGTTATTAGGCTGCGCAATACAGCACTACCCAGCTGTAAATGACTTCAGTTTGATCATCTTTTTCGGTTTGAATACTCTTTTTGGCTTCGATTCAATTTGAACTTGCTTAATCTCGATTAATGTCAACTTTCGTCGTCTGTTTTATCGTTGTTCTCAAGGCAGCTTGTCAATTGTCTGCTTTTAGCGGCTGTAATAAATCAATTGTACCGTTTTTGAATGGTCATTTTTGGTACGATGACCAACTCCATTGATTTGTCAAAGCTGATTTGTTTTTATTGGCCCGTTGTTTTGTTTCAGATTGTGATTATGTCTTCTATTGGAACAGGTTATGATCTATCGGCTTCTCAGTTCTCGCCCGATGGTCGTGTGTTCCAAATCGAATACGCCATGAAAGCATGTGAAAACTCCGGAACAGTTGTGGGCCTGAGGTGCAAGGACGGAGTGGTACTGGCTACGGAAAAGATCATAACTTCCAAATTGTATTCGCGTCACACCCAGCCGAGAATTCTAAACGTAGACGCACATATCGGAATGGCTTTCTCGGGTCTCGTAGCCGACGCTTACCAATTATGCAATATAGCCCGAGACGAGGCTTCGGATTATCGAGTGCAACACGGAATGCCGATACCACCCGAGTACCTTGCAAGTCGAGTATCTCAATATGTTCACGCATACACGCTCTACGGTGCTTTGAGACCATTTGGCGTGACAACATTTTTGTCCTCATACCATAATGGAAAAGCAGATCTTCATGTAATTGAACCATCAGGCGTGTTTTATTCATACAACGCAAGTGCGAGCGGAAAAGCGAAAGCAAATGCGAAGACAGAGTTGGAAAAGATCAAAGACTTCCAGGTCGGTTCATTAAAATCAAATGAACTATTTCTTATCTTCTGATAAAAAAAGAACCTATGCAACGGCCTCTGAAATTATGTCTCGATTTCCGGAGTTGATTGAAGGAATAAGAAACTTTTTCCACCTGGCTCGGCCAACTATTTAGTTCAAATAAGCTCATTTGCGCTTTGATGCTTTTGATTCAAACGGTGCAAAATGCATTTGCGCCTTTTTAACCGTTTTTCGTTCTAAATGTGGACTGAACCATGAACCATTGATAGTTAGAATCAATTTAAATATAAACATCATCCTCAATCGTTAAATTGCCGACGACGCTTTGATGTCCTGCCTAAAGTGATTGATCTAAAATAGTGCGATTTGTCTGTGATTGATGAAGATATACTCTGATATTTAGAATAGCTCAGTTGGTTCTTTTAAACTGGGAGGAGATTATCTAAAGTACTCGTAAAGCATGGCTAAAATTCTTTTTGAACGTACTTCGAAACGATAATCGTTGGTAGTTAAAGTGAATAATTGAAATGTAAGTTGTTAAATTTGTGGTGAAAGTGGAAATCGCGTTGTTAAAAATTGTAACCAGAATCGTCCTGGTTAAAGATGCTGCGTTTAAGCCATGCGCCAAGGTATACTCTGATATTTAGAATAGCTCAGTTGGTTCTTTTAAACTGGGAGGAGATTATCTAAAGTACTCGTAAAGCATGGCTAAAATTCTTTTTGAACGTACTTCGAAACGATAATCGTTGGTAGTTAAAGTGAATAATTGAAATGTAAGTTGTTAAATTTGTGGTGAAAGTGGAAATCGCGTTGTTAAAAATTGTAACCAGAATCGTCCTGGTTAAAGATGCTGCGTTTAAGCCATGCGCCAAGGTAATCTTGGCCTTAAACCTATAAAGGAAGCTCTTGTCAAATCGTTTTGTTGCCATGAACTTGAACTTCATGTGAATTATGTAAATTCGTTTGATGGGTATTTGCCTCATTTTAAATTAAAATTTATCATAATTTCAGATGTATTTTTTTTTTCAAATAAAGGCATACGTTTAAAGACATCATTATAATTTGACTCGTGTATCTGAACATCATAAGAAAGAAAGAATTAATTTTTTCATGTATAAACAAATACAAAATGTCATCAAATACAGGACTTGATAGACAACGGGGGGGGGGGGGGTCTGCTGGCCCAATAAACATCTAGGTAAGGTTCGGAGAAAAAATTTTTTTTTAAAATATATATATTAATAATAATAATATTAATAAAAAATAATAATATTAGTAATGAGAAAGTTTTGTTGGTTTTAGGGCATGTCTATTCGGGAAGCTGTTGCTGAGGCGGCCAAAGTCATTTACACAGTGCATGACGAAGTGAAAGACAAGGACTTCGAATTGGAGTTGAGTTGGATCTCTGCCTCGGAGACTGACTCCAAACACCAGAGAGTTCCCAAGGAACTATTTGATCACGTAGTTGCACAGGCCAAAGCGGCTGTGGCTGACAGCGACAGTGACGACGATGCTTAGAACGCTTATTCTGATCTTGAAAAAATGACTTGTTGGAACTATATTATACAGTGAAAAAAAATGATTTAATGGTGCAACATACATCTTAAGCTCAACAAACCGAAAGCGTGATACTCGCAATTTAGACTTCGGGTTCCATTGAGTGAAGTTATCGAATTTTTGACGGTTACAGTCAAGTACGCGATCTGATAATTTGATGTTTTTCGGTCTGTTGAGCATTGCTTTGAATTGAAGGAAGATATGGCGGTACTCTCCTAAATTTCCCTTTTTACCTCTCCCTGTTAGTCGACAGAATAATCCTACTACGCATTTCCTAAAAACACCCCGTGGCTTATAAATGAGGCTGATTTCAATTGAATATTTTTGATCAAAATTTGAGAGGACGCTGGGACATCTAATTGCATAATTGAGCTATCTAAGGCATTGAACTGTCTCATTAAAATTCAAGGCATTTGTGTCACCCGAACCAATTTTCTTGGCTAAGCGGGATATAATGAAAATGCAAATGGCAGCCAATGTGTGGAACTGAAAGATTCGTTCCTGAAATGGATACGAAGTAACGATAAGTGATTGTTTTCTAATGATGGCTTAGAATTACAAATGATGACATTATTTGAGTGTAATTTTGAGTTTACTTATTTTAAAAGAGGTGTTTCGATACTACTTCAAGCTGTGATCGATAGCATTGAAGAATGCTTTGGACATCAAGTAAATTTTGTGCGAGCTTTTCGCTCTGTGTTATTGAACTTTTTGGATTAATTAGTTATAGGCGTCATGGTCAGTTTTTTCTTTGAAATTCAACTGCAAATATTCTTATGCAAAATTTTACTGGAAAACATATTCAAAACTCATTTTTGAGCTATTTTTCAGGTAAATTTCCCTGGAGAATACTATTACCCCAGTAACTTGAGACGGGTCAGTATAATTACAAGAAGTTCGGTGCAGCATTAATGTTAAGCTCGAATGCTTATTGGCATATGAAGCAAGTTATTAAATTCAAAACCATGAACTAATCTGCGTAAAGGGGACGGTCATTTTTAGCACGGCGGGTAAAACAGTTAGTTTTTGTGCTTCACCGAGGTAACCGGTGGGAATTTTCAGTTGATATTTCTGATCATGCGAAGCATAGATTGATATTTCTTGAATCAAACATGATTGGTCTGATCTCGTATTGCCGACAAAAAGTGAAAGCTATGATTTTATTATAGATAATACAACAACATGGTATTTTTTTCGATTCATTAATATTTTTCAGTTAAATTTTATATCTGAGAATGGACATTTGACTTAAAAACTGAGGGTAATAAAATGACAGTATCTCGATCCCTTTTTGCAACACTCCAAGATGAAAGCACAGTGGAGCAATTCACTTTGACCAGCGAGACACTTCAAGTATCTATCATCACTTTCGGAGCATCTATCACTAATTTTATCCTTCGTGACAAAAATTTAGACGTGTGCCCAGCATATGCGACCTTTGAGGGGTATCTAGAGAACCCTTTCAAAATGGGCGCTACTGTTGGGCGAGTGATTAACAGGCTAAAGGGTGGAAGATTTACAATTGATGGGAAAACTTTCGAACTTGATAAAAACTATAAAGGCATCCATTGTATACACGGAGGGAGCAAAGACTTCGTGCACTATAATTGGAAAGTAGACGAGGAGAAATTGTCCGAGAATTCTGTGACTCTAACTCATTTGAGTGAAGATGGTGATATGGGATTTCCTGGAAACTTAAAAGTATCCGCCACTTTCACATTAGAGGTTAGTGCTTAATTGTGTACAGTCCTGTACAATCATGTGTCCAATTTTGTAATAGATTGAGGCGATAATTTTGGTTCTTCTACTTCCGACCTCCAGGTACAGAAATCGATTTTACAGTGCAATGAGTGGTTTCCTAGATTGCATTAATGCATATAATGACAAAATATGCTTAAAAATTGGGTTATTAACCCTCATACATACGTTATGACAATTGGACTGCGTGAACAAAAATTTGAAAACACAAAAAGGGGGGTGGGGGATAGTGGATTTTGGTCTTTTGACGATGGGATTGAGACAATTTTTCCCAGCAGGGAAATGTAACCAAGAAAAAGACACCGAGGACTCATTCGAGAGTGCAAAAACGATACTATGAAAAGAACTGAGCTGCTGGTAAAAATTTTTTCCCTTTGCATATTGGCAGGAAAGTCAAGGTTCATTTTCGGGGTGAAGTATCCGTTCATATTTCCGTATATATTTCTGACCCCGCGGGCATTTATGTCTTCATTCCTGATTTAATAGTTTCCGACCGAGAGAAATTTTGCGGACAGTTTTTTCCCGTGTTAACGTTTAATTGGTGCTGTTAATTTCCGGTTCCCGTGTCAACCTAACTAATGTATGGTTGTTTTAAACAAAGAATCGTGAATCAAAAATGAAAATATATTTTATGCCAATGCAAGAAAAAAAATTTCTTCCACGAAAAATAAGAATTCAAATTCTGAAATTTCAAGAAGCGAAGACTTCTTTTCTTGTTCATTTTGATGCAAGAAACAAATTTTTATTAAAATTAAATGACACAATCGTAATCAGGCCTGAATGTAACACTGAAGGTCCAACTTGTCCAAAGATAACTTTTAATTGTCATTTCCTTTTAATGTTGATATGTTTATCTTGGAGAGAGTGACTTTAACGTGAAGAGTGGTAGTGATTCCTGATTAAGAAATTTTTTTATTGCCCCGCGGTGTCATTCATCATATTTCTTACTGTAGCAAGCATTTATATCAAACTGAAGTACCAATTCATTAATTTTGGGGAGAAAAAAGGACTTTTGCGGGGAGAGTTGATTTCGAAAAAAAGTAAAAACGATTTTTTTAAAAGTTTGTTTATTAGCCCCCGGTCCTGCTCAATGCAGGGCTAACCGTGGGGGATGCTTATGTCATCCATGTCGCCGTTCCCAGCTTGAGAAGGCGGATGACACTGGGTTGATCTTTTTTAAGTTTGAACAAAATGGTTTCCGACGCTAAAATGATCGCATTTCATTTTAGTGATATTGCGAAAAACGCGTAACATGTATTTTTGGGAGTTTGGAGGTTCGACCAAAAATGGATACCTTAAGATGGTGCAAACAATATAAATCTACGGATGACGGAGTTTGTGTTAAGTTCCTGAGAGGAGGCAGCGTCTCTTGCCCCTTTCTCTTCCCCTTTCCGTGAAACCGCTATCACTTAAGTTGGTGTACACAGACTTTGCCCTTCTCAAATTTAGAGGCGCGTTTCGCACCTCGCACATTTCGCCCCTAATACTTCCACGCAAAAGGTCGTAAAAATTGGGGCCAAATGTGTCCTTTTATTTAAGAAGGGCAAAATGTTTGAGGGGAGAAACGTGCCACATTCGCTTCAGTTTCGCTCTGTAAAAACTGATCATTTGTTTAGAAAGATGAACTGAGTGTACAGTATGGAGGGTCAACAGATGCCCCTACGCCTGTCAACCTCACTTGTCATTGCTACTTCAACCTGGCCGGCCACTCGGCTGGAAAAGAGGCTCTGCTCAAACACAAAGTGCAATTGAATGCAGACCACTATCTGTTACTAGATGAAGAGTACTTGCCTATTCAGAAAGAGAGCGTAGACAATACGATATTCGACCTAAGGCATCTTTTTCTTCTGAGTTACAATTTTATATAAGAATTTGAGAAGTGGTAAAAAAAACGATTACTTCCCTTCCTCAAAAATGTTATCTGCCTCCAATTTTGGGCTCAAAATTGTTCAATTTCTAATCAAAATTGTTTGCATCATTACTTTTTAATGAGAGTAAAACGAAATCATTCAGTTGAAGCAAATTGTGGAAATCATCTGGTTATTGTTGATTAGAGTGGAAATTATGACGAGGAAAAAGTACCCTTTGATTGAACTGAATTATCTTTTTCTCCCGGGTTTACAATTCATTTCAATAAATTTGGGTGATTGATTTGCTTGGCCAAAACATACACGCGTCATCGAATTGATTACCTGATTAAGAGAATGATTTTCAATCATTTTGAGATTGAACTGAATCGAAAAAGTAAAAATACTTATTTTTATAAAATCATGCAAAAAAAAATACATTTTTTTTTGTTCAGTAGCTTGCAGATTCTAAGAAATTTAACAGGAAAAAGATACCTGAATTGGTCGAAATTTATTATAGAAAAGAGCTCATCTTGGGAACCATCTTAGACAAAATTAACGATGGTGTTGGTTTCGATAACTACTATTGTATGTCGGAAGACAAAATCAATTCGTGGCATGCAAGAGCAAGTTATGGTGATATATGTCTGGAATTGAAGTCGAACCAACCTGGGTTCCAGTTTTACAATAATTATTACATTGACACTGATGGAGGGAAAGATGGCTGCGAATATAGAAAGCATTGCTCCTTCGCCTTTGAAGCACACGGATACCCTGATGCTGTTAATCATCCGGAGTTTCCCAGTATTATTTTGAGACCAGGAGAACAGTATAGCAATCAGATAAAGTTCAAATTGTACTCAAAGAATGAATAATTTCCTTGCTTTTGTAAATTGGCTCAATGGATCGGGTAGTGGTTTTAAAAAAGGTAACAAGGTATAGGCAAAGTGTAATCACGTGAAGTCATTTTTGGCTAGGTTCAACCTTGTCATATCTCAATGTATGAACGTTTGATTCCCGAATCCGAATGGATCGACAAACAGATAAGCTAACGCGGAGCGAGATAAAACGACCAATTTAAACCAAGGTTTATTTTTGCTCTGACCGTTCATTCGGTCTGTGTTTGAGATGAGATCTCTCAAGGTCGATTGACCGGCTAAATGTATGTTTATGGCATGCAACATCATAAACATATGTAACATCATAAATGTCAATGTATATACATCTGAGTTTTGTCGGTCCAATATGTAAATGTACTTCAACTATTTGGTATTTAAGAAAAAAAACTATTTTAGGTAAATCAATGCATAAAGTTTGTAAGTTTTTTTAAGTCTGTAAGTTGTACATTCTGCGTAGTTGCCTTTCCATGAATCAAAAAGAACGATTGATACTCATTTCGTTTGTATAACACTGGGATTCTTGAAGATGTCGGATAACTCTTTGGCTTGAAGTTTTTCCTGCAACCGTTTTATAGTAGAGTATTTTCAAGCAGATGGGTACAAATCTCGAACTCATACATACAGAAAGCACATAATGGATCGGGTTTTAAATTTCTATTCCATAGAACGTCTTTATCTCCAACGCAATTGAAGAGCAGACGGTAGAACAAACTTTTTTCAAAGCTGGTCAACCTTGATTGTTTTCACAACCATGGCGAAACTTTACTGAATTCAGTTGGTTTTAAGTTGAACTTCGTGCGGCTCTTTTCGATGCTTTTTTTCCAACTATTTTCAAAGTTAAAGTTTTTAACGCATGCTCCATATATTTGCGAGTTTTTTGTTTTTGCGAGAATGCTCATCATCCAACATCGGGAGTTTCTTATCTCAATGTTTTCGTCATTTAAAGAATTGATACTGACTTCCGAGTTTTCTAGATCTCCATCTAGTTCTCTGTGAAACCTGCTTTTTGGAATATTCCAGTTTTCCATTAAGAGATGTTTCTGCAGTGGTCCGAAGTTGAAATCAGTATTTTGAAAATATTTGATTTTGGCAGCTAAAAGATGGTCCTGCGGGCTGGGAAATTTCACTCCTCCTTTGAGCGTGTCTCGTTCAAGGAAAATTCAATTAACTTTACTTCGATTAACTCGAAACTGGGTACCTTTGCAGAAATCATCAAGTTTTTGTGTAGATATTGAACCTTGTCAGAGGGAGTGAAAGCTGTTAGGTACTGATCATACGCAACACTTCGTGTTTCAAGTTTAGTCAAATAAGTTGCTTGTCGTATTTGAAGTAAGTGAAGCTCGAGAGCTAAGATAAAAAGCAGGCTTGATAATGGGCATCCTTGTCGGACTCCTCGTTTCTGTTTGAATTCCCTTGAATTAAACCCATGGATTACAACTGATCACTTAGAGTTGCAGTACAAACTTTTTATCAATGATATCAATTGACTTGGGCAGCCAATTTTTCGTAGAAGTTGGAACATTTATTTCCGATCGTCCCTATCAAAAGCTTCGGAAAACTCGATCCTTGAAGCTACCAAATTGCTTTTTGATTTTCGGAGTCGTAATCGGATCTCATGGATGGCTTGATTTATAGATCTATTGGGGTCAAATACGCATGTTGTTCGTTCTCAATCACTTCATTTAAAACTGTCTTTAGCCTTTCAGCTATTACATGTGACAGGATTTTCTGGTCTGTGTTTATCAAGCTGATCGGCCTGTAGTCTTTCAGTAGAAGACTCACTTTCTTTTGGCAGGAGTTTGATTGTGTCTTTGTTGAAAGACTTCGGCTTTTTGGCAAAACTTAATGCAGATTAGAACAATTGTAAAAGTATATTGGCAAACGAGAAGACATGTTGCGGATATAACTCAGATGTAAGTCCATCACCACCTGGGCTCGTTCTTTTTCTAAGTTAATTTATTGCCATTACAATTTCTTCCTTTTGAAGTGGAGCATCAAGACTTTCGATGCTCTTGTCTGACAATTTTTTGTTGAAACTCTTTAGGATCTCATACCAATATATGTCTATCACTTGCTTGTCTTTGCAGAGATTTTCGTAGAACGATGTTGTTTCTTCCAACATCTGTTGTGTTTCAGTTGGAATATCCCCAGTTTGAAGTTTCTTTTTTCTGATTAATGTTTTGGGTTGCTGCCGCCTTGACCATCTTTTAATATCTTTGGGGTCGCCGTTCTGAAGCTCTTAGATATTATTTTGAATATATGTCAAATTTTATCTACACTTCTCTTCTTTTTTTTTCGGAGTTTCTTATACTCAAACGTTCAATTTGGGTTTTCAATATTTGTTTGTGTTTCTTTTCCAGTCTGATTTTCTGTATTGAGGTAATGCGTAAAAACTCGAAGTAATTCTAGCTAAATAACATCGTAGTTTTCAGTTGTCCAATTTTCAAGATGTTTTTCTATTGCCTTTTTGTTTTTGGCAGAAAGTTGTTATTCAATCTCCAGCTACCTTGAACCATGTCCACATCGGGTTCTTGAAAAGTTTGGTAGCATAAGATCTGGTGGTCACTCACGGTTTTTTCGAGCATTTGGAATGTATCATCCGCCGTGAGAGTGTTCGAAAAAATTAAGTCCATTCGGTAACAAAATTTTTTCTTGAATACCTTTGCGGTCCAGCCATTTGTGCTTGATGATCTCTCTTGTGATTTGGGAAAGAACTCAAGTCTCCAACAGGAATAAGTGTGTCAGACTCATTTATTTCATTAAATTCTGTCATCGCTTCCGATATTAGATGGCAACTTTTGACAAAAATTGCTGTTTTGACATACGCATTCACTACATATGTTCGTTGCTGGGGAAAATGAATTAGCTGGGACGCACTGTTTTGTGTGATAATGGTTGCTTTCATAGATTTGCTCAGAGTATAAGTAGTTCTCCACTACGACCAATCGGTGATTTGTAAGTTCTCTAGAGTTGTTCTCAAATTATTACTGATAACCGCAGTTTGGGTTTCTTGTAAACAAATTATGAAGTTTAGGTCATAGTTGAGATGGGTTATTTTATTCATTATGTGATTAAGTTCTTCGGGACGATCAAGCCCTCAGCAGTTCCAGGTTAGAACCTTCATTGACTTCTTTCGACAGTTTGGACTCGCTATTCAAGCATTTTTCGTCGGGTGATTTGACCGTTTTTTCCTGATACGATTTTTTGTGATAGTTCCTAGAGACTCAAACTGGGTTTCATCTTCGTTGCCGTAGTTATTTGATTTGGTTTCAGTTTGACCTAATTCTGAATCGAAAAAGTAGAAATGCTTCTGTATGGAATCATGTATTGTTCTACCTAATATTGTTCAAATAAAACAAATAGAAATGTCATATTCAGCATCTCAATATTTACACCGAAAATAAGTAGTTGGCTTTTCTGGTAGTTTTTTACTGTTGATCTAATGTTATCTGTACTTTTTGCGGCTTTCAGTAATTGTTTTGGAAATTGTAATATCTGAGTGAAAATACTTGATTAAGTTGGGTGGGTCCACTTGTTTGGATCGTGTCATAATTCACTTGTTTTTGGGTGGCTTGATCTCTAACCAGCTCGTTTGTCCGCATTCTTGCGGAGTTCCACTTCATTTAGGGTGTATATTGGAAATAGCGTTGTTGAAATAGTAGCGAACGAAGGATCCTTAGATGAACGAGAAATTAGCATGGAAACTTCACTGAGGCAGCTGAAGTTTTTTTATCCAGAAACCACCATTTGTTGTAGGTTGATACGACAGTGGCAGCGGTTCGCGAGCAAGTTAAGCAAATGAGAAAATGCGAGCAAGTTACCAAAAATATCACAATTAGAAAATGAATTGGCTAAAATAGCCGATCAAAGAATATAATTACCCTTGCGATAAGCTAAGGTATTACAATCGTGTACTAGACTCTTTCCCGTAAACAACTTTTTTTGAAGTTTTTTTAAACAGTTTCAGTTTGTTATATCGGCTCAATCATTAAGTTTTGCTTAATTTCTAGGGCAATATATATATGTTTGGGATTATGTGTTTCAATTGGATGGGTCATAAACACATAAATTTTATGAAGTTTTCCATGACAACAGTTTTGTTTTCGACTCAACAGATTTCGACCCAAAGTTTGTTACCTTTGTTGCCGCTCGGTAAATGAGTTCCACTTTTTTAGGGCTAATAGTGAACTTCGTCAAATACAAATATGAATTTTTTGTTGCGCTATGTTTTCCAACTTGTTAAGTTATTTTTTCACGTAATTTATTCCCACAGAATTTTTTCAGAATTTTATTTTGATTTTTTTAATTCACCGTACCACAATGTGTGATGTGCATCGCAATATTTACGAAGTTTAGCTTCGACTCTGTGTGAAAGTTTTTTCACGGTTTATTTGACGCAATTGCACTAGTTTGTTCCATAACACGCCGTCTCCGACTTCGTCGCTGCTAAAACTTCTTAGGAAGAAATCAACTGCTTAGGGTTGATTCTGATTAAGAGTAATAAACGTAGTGAAGACTCGTATATAGGTCTTGGTGATTGTTTTAAGGAAAAAGTCTGAAAATGCTGTAATAACAACAGATGTGCATTCATACATATAGCGCGAAAAACGTGAACAATTTCTAGTTTCGGAAAGGGAATTTTAATATTAAGATTTTCATCTGAATAAAAACTTCACCTATTGATCCAGTTTTCTCAAGTTGGGTTAATGTTTCAAAAAAAATCGCCAATCATAAATAGTTTGTAGAAATTCAAAGAGCTCAAAGGGCATCTATTTTTTTGTTCCGAAAGTTGAGATGTTATCAACAAAACCAGTGTTTTTTTTTCTGTTCGCTTGCGTTCATTAGTCTTTCCCAACTGTCAGCTGTCTATGTTTCAATATGGCGTTTTTCAAGAGTGATCTTTTATTAACGGTAACTCTTATCAATCAGATTGGCGTTTTTGGTACTAGAAACTAATTTCTCATAACAGTGCGAACGGTACTTTAACTGTTGTTTCCAGAAATTTGTTTTTCCGAAAAAACCTGGAAAGATTGTATCTATCTGTTTACGAGAATTTGGCGTTAAAAGAACCATGTGAAGTGCGGCCCAAGTGCGTTGTTTCTACCGACAAAAATGTCTGACTTTCAAACACGATTGCTAAGCACTAATGATTAAACAGCTTGCTACAACGAATTATTAGTTTTTTTTTGAGTGAAATAGCCGTAGAAATAACTGGCAACTCGTCGTCAACAATCAATGGCAGTTAGCTGCGGTATCATTGTACACAGGAATTCAAGTGAATCGAACTGAGTTGCGCTTTTGTGGTATAATGAAACTTGGGCGTCGGATTACATATGCTCGCCGCTTTTGCACAAACTTCATTCCTGACACAATCTCGCGTGGGCACACAAAATTCAAATAACAAATTCAATCTTTTCTAAGTCAACAACAGCAAAAGATCTTTGTGTATCAATTGGTCAAATTTTGAATAGTACGCACTATTCAACTTTTTTTCGAAGAAATGAGACACGTAGTATGCAACTTTTTTTCGAAGAAATGAGACTTTTTCTTGTTGCAAGGACGCCAATTATGAGATCCCGTTACGCTTATTTCCTCTACTGATTCGAACAAAAAATAGGAACTTTCAGACGCCGGATTTTCAGTCAAAAACATTTCAACTGCTTCCCGCTCTGCTGCTTTCTTCCTAAATGTTTCTTAGGAGCTGGAAACCGCAAGTCTTTCCAATAGTCAGCAAAGTCGCAGTTATCGAAAAACAACTGAAGTTTTGTTTTCTCGTCATCTGGAAAATTTGAGCGTTGTTCTCTCAATTTGAACATCACTTAGTCATTTGATTCCTTCGTTCGACCGGAGTGCTGGAAAAAGTTACTTTTGAAACAGATCATAAAGCAAGCAGTTGTGAAATTTCTCTGAACAAGAAACGTTTGACAGCTGACAGCTATCGACAATAGCCAGCATATAATTGCCGCTCAACTCTTTAACCTTTTTCGCAATCACTGAGGTACCTAAAATCACACGTGACAAAATTTCCCTGTTTAATAAGCTCGCTTCGTCTAATAACATGAACAGCAAAGTTTTTAAGTTAGGTTCTTTTTCAAATCTCTTTAAAATGCATCAGAGATTTTTCAGTTAAAGTTAGGCCGGAAAAACACAGTAGGAACAGTAAAAACCAATGATTGTGCTTGTCTCAATTTTGCTACAAGCGGTGCGCAGTGAAAATTGTTTAGCAGTCATACCATTGATTTACGTGGATCACAGCATGACTCTGGACAATTAAATTTTACCAGAACCTTGAAGACCGAGTATAAATTACTTTTAGCAAGGCTATACTCATGAACGGCAATTAATTTTGCACGTATCAATGCAAAGAAGAGATTCAACAAAAGCCGTTGTTTTCAGACGCTACACTTTTGTTCTTAAACTTTACTTCTCTTCTGGTAGATGATGGTAGGTGAACGATCTTTGAAAACTGACAAGGTGTTTCACATCTAAGAAAAAACTGCTTAAACAGTCATTAGCAAGGTTGTAAATACTGCTCAGATGAACTTATAGGATTTTGAGATTGTTGATTTGTGTGGTAAAATGCTGAAGCAGGTCTTCCAAACAGAACTGAACTGTTGATCACAACTGAAGAAACAGCGAAGAGCTTTAGGAATCGTATCATCCCCTAACTGATAGTAGTAAAAAAAAGAAATCAAAAATTAATCAACGAAGGTGCCCCTTTTGAGTTTTCTAGCTTTGGAGCACTGCACAAAACTTGGGAGACAAAATTGAACAAAGTTGCCATGTTCAAAAGCCAAACAGTCAATGGAAGTTTCGATGAATGATCTGTTATAAGAGATCGATTCAGATCTATGTCTGCATAAGTATTAGATGTTGCTGATGTATCTGGAGGGTGCTCCTACGAAATATTTATATGAAAAGGTTGTTCAAACATAAGTAATCGCGATTATACAGGCGTTCGCTGATGAAAAATAGGTTAAAAATTTGTCCAATTGGTTTTTTGATGATCTTTATTTCAACATGTACATTTTTTCATTTAATTAATAACTCAAAAAATTTGTCATTTCTTCAAATTATCAATGGAGAATTCTTTCAACCAAATAACTATTTTCTTGAAAGTTTTTATAAAAAGTCATGTTTTTTTTCACATTAGTGTTGTTCTTTGTGCGTGGTGTGATGACTGAATCTGACAAAAATTTAAGCATAATCGGAAGCTACAGTAAAATAAGCAGCTCGAACAACGGTTTCCGTCCAAAAATGACTAGAAAAAAAACTAAATGAACAAAAAAATTTGCGGAAATTGTTTTGAAGTTTTTATTTTGAAAAATGGCGCCAAAAACTTCAAACAACAATTTTACTGGTATAAAACTAAAGTTTCACAGCATATCTGCCTATAAAAAAGCCTGATCTTTTGCTTAACTTGCTCGAACCAGTTTTCATTGACAACATTTTGAAACTGTCGTTTGAATCACGACTGAAAGAGCTTTAATCAGAATACTCTGGTTCTGCCTGAAAAAAAACAAAAAATAGAAAAAACTAAAACGCCAGAATACAAAGTTCCTCCCCTTTTTTAATGGTCGGAACAACAGACAAAATATCTTAGCCTCTGTAATGAGTTTTGTCGGCTGAGTGGATCGGAAGTGGAGGTGTCGATATCCTTTATGATATCATTTCATGATATTAGTTTACTTAACCAACACCTATTATTTTTTACTCCTTCACTCATTTCTTTGCCCTAAATTGACCTGGAAGGCTCTAATAGACGTTTTTTTCGACACTCGTGAAAGTTTTTTATAGTATTCTGTATTGCAGCTCCAATCACGAATGAAAAAGCATTCACGTTTAAATTCACATGATTTTAAAGTAACTTTTAGACAAAAGAAATTGATTTCAGATTTAACATGGAACCCATTGCCTGTTGCGTTACTTTAGTGGACGAAAACGAGCGCCTATTGCGAAAAATATGCAGATTGAAATCGAAGTTAAAATTAACTGAGAAGAGATTGCAAGAAACAGAAGAAACAATTACAAACGATGATTCCACAGCTGATGATTATTCATCAATGAACCCTAATAATATCGCAAATAATAGCCGAGGGCATGTTCAAATATCAACTTCAGATGAAAGTGAAAGGGTAAAAAAAGTCGAAGAAAATTTTCACGCCACGAAAGCAAAGCTGCTTGCCATGCAAAACAACACCACACGACTCTTACATGCTGAACAACATAGATGTCGAGAACTTGAAGCTAAGTTTTCAGACCTTGAAAGTGCGAACAAAGACTTGGCCACGAAGTTAGATGAGGAAAAACGAAAAGTATTCAGCTTGGAACGGCAAATTGGTCAGTTAGAGAACGAAACTTGTGAACTGAAGTCGAAGACTGTTAAAAGTCTCAAAAGTCGATGTGAAAAGTTAACTTCCGAAAATGAGGCTTTAAAACGAGAGCTGAACAGTTTCGAGCCGGAGTTCTTTGAGGAACTTGAAGACATGAAATACGAACTGAAAAGGTCAAAAGAACTAAATTTGGAGTACGAGAAAGCAATGAGAGTGTTGTGTGAAAAATACAAGCTACCTTTTATCAAGATCAGTTGAGGTTTGAGCTTTTTTGATCTTGGCTCGAAAGGTGTTTTCAAACGGTGTCAACTGACAATCAATTGGTTTTCTTTCAAACTAATTTCTATCCTCTGTCATGTTTCTGTAGAAATAGTATTAGTCTTTTAGTATAAATTTTAATGTTGCGCTTTTCAGTGCTGTAAATTGAGGAAATTCGATCAAAATGTTTCAGAATTTATTCCTTGTTTTTGATTGATTAAAAACTAAGTGCGAGAGAGTGTAAATAATAGTATTAGCTGGGAATAAATGTTCTCAAAATTGTTTTTGTTTCTTACAGAGCTCCAAACCGGCTCCGCTCTGATAACAAATGTAGGTAGCTTGTGATCGAGTTAAATTTAGCCCCAAATTTTCCCGGACCCAAGCCCAAATTACCAACTAAATCATTTCCCCGATTTGGGATTAGTTTCAGCTGTAATCTCAAATGTCACAAAGCCTCCTTCTGTCGTCGCAATCAAATTCAGTGCGTTTTACAGAACGACTCAAAGTTTAGTTTCTAAAGGTTTCGTTTTATGCATTTAAAGGCAATCGCTTTCTTACTATGTGCTTTTTTGATCACGTGAACTCCTAGTTTTTTTCGGTTTTTTACTCAAGTTAAGGTTTTCCTGAACATGCCTTGACAAACTGAACAGCTTTTTGACAAGTCCTTTGTGTTATAAAAAATGTGAAAATAATTTATATCAATTTTTTTATAACTCAAATCACTCAAATTCAAATTCGAAAAAAAAATAACTAAAGTTTACGGAAAACGAATCTACATGTAAAAGGTTTTTTTTTGGCAGAAAAACTGAAGGCTAAATCTGCTACTACTACTTTTTTCGCTTTTGGGTAGCCCAAGCAACTGCACATAAGTAGCGTAAAAATTCGTGGATCATCGTAACTAGTTGAAGCTTCAGTGCAATATAGCCCAATAGTTCTTGTCGGGCGGAAGACTGCTCTGAATTATCTCTGCTAAATGCCCAGTCTACGTCACGGAAATGTTTTTGCCCCAAACCAAATTTTGAACTCTGAATCCCATTCACCCGAAATGCCCTCTTTAATTCTGTGGGCTTCAAGTCGGAGGACCGTTCATTGAAAATCAATCTTCAAACTGTGTAGCTTGACAAATGGTTCCAAAACTGTACCAGATTACGTGCTGTGTTTTGTTTCAAGTGCCTGAAAAGAAATAGCCTCAGCTCATGTTCCGGTTTTACCTCAATGAAATAGTAGTGTAGCCCTTAGATTGCTCGTAAGTACGTCGAGAAAGCTATAGTTGTAATTTGTTTATTTTAAAATCCATTTGGCCTTTAAATTTAACAACTTTTCAATGATTTGCAAACTTCTGCTCAGACGTGAAAGCAGTTGATTGTGTATTGTTCAGCCTTGGGATTGTTTAGTTCTTAATTTGTCGAAAGTTTTCCCGTTCGCCTTTAGCGCTTACATTAGTCATTTCTTGAGGCTTAAAAAAGCTTTCCGATAATCAGAGTAATCAAGTAAAATTATAATAATAGCAAAATTTTCTTTTATTACACTTAATTTACTTGGAAGCGATGACCATGCCTCAATGTGTGAGCAATGACCCTGCCACTGGTTGTTCAAGGACGTACTCTGCAGAAATGGAATCGAAGCTGCCGGGATGTGCAAAGTACGAGACCTCGTCTCCTTCCTCTTTCCGCGGGAGTTTCTTCGAGGATAATGCTATTCTAAACGACCATCATGGAAATTGGTCCGTGTACAAATATTTGCCCAAGTGCTGGACCACTCTGGAACCGGCTCTGTGTGGAGTGTTGCGGGCTTCTTGTCAGAATAACAGTGATGCCTCGAGGATTTATCCTTCCTTGACGAAGCTGCATCAACACGGTTGCAACCAGATGTTAGATGTGTGTCCATTTGTGAAGCACGTGTATCAACATGTTAACAGTGAGTATATGTTCTGAATTAAGTTGTACTCATATGACGTAGTTGTGTTAGTTATAATGGCAATACGTTTCACACTTAAAGGTCGGAGTAGTCTTTGCAATAACTGCTCAGGTTAAAGTTTTTTTGATACTACGTTTTATAAGATTATTATAATTTATAATTTGGGAAAAGGTTTGGCCGACATGAGATCAAAAAGCGGATTTTGGCTACTTTTTTTTCGTGGAGTAAAGAAATCTCGTAGGGATTAATTTGCTATCACGTTGAAGTCCTTCCAGCTGTGATTTCAATTCTGAAAAAGTTTCAAATTCAAATCTTGTCTATTTGGAGAAAAATTGGATTTAAAAATTCCAGCATAATTTTTATGCCAACTTATGACACTGAGTTTGAGCCCAATTCAAGTCTCATTCAGTTTCGTGCGCTTTTTAGATGTAATAAAATCTCATTTCAGTAGTTTCTCACCTCATTCGATCGCGCTTTACCTGGAAAAATTAGCAGGAAATAAGGAAATTAATTATATTTTTTCTAAAACTTGATTTTTTCAAAACAGAAATTTTCTTTAATCATAGTGGTCGGAACATTCTGTGCAACTTACACAGCATTCGGCTATCATTTTTCGATTAAGATTTTTTATTTTTAGTTTCATACCGACGATCGAATTATGGTTCAGGTGTTTTTTAACGCAAAATAGGTATCACAAAGAAGCGTCGAAGAGTTACTCTTTCTGCACCGTAGACAAATTTAGAGAAATGGGTCAAAACGCAGGCGTTTTAAGAAGTATTTGCGCAAAAAAGCTGATTGGGCATTTTTAACCCCTGCACCCTTGCGCGCAACTGACATTCGGGCCTTACTTCCTTGGATAGTGTCATCCATTTTGCGTAGCCGTTCCCTCCTTGAGGCGGATGATATTGGGAACCCTGCGAATGTGACCGAAGTTGGATTCGAACACACGCAAAAATTGTTTGGTAGTAGAGGGGGTCGAATCCGTGAGGGGGTATTGAGGGCAGAATTTTTTTGTCAAAATAACGTCTATGGTGTTTTAAGAGAGCTCGGAAAATCAATTTGGTCGACCAAACAAAGGTCATCAATTTTTTATATCAATTGAGAAATGGGTAGCTTACTATTCTTTGTGTGCTACTTCTTGCATATCAACCCGCTTTTCTTGTATCATTTAGAATTCGTCACGTGTAGTAGTGAATTCTACGTCAACATGAAATGCCCAGGACAAACACTACTGAATCACTACGACAAGCCAGATGTCGCCGATTTTCAGTGCCTTCCTCCCGCGCAAGTCACTCCCTCCTCCGATCTCTGGCTTACGAAGGTGGACTACTGCGGGATGCCTTGCGACCAGTTGGAACCCTTGTCATCATGGAACCCTGCTCTCATTCTATCGTCCTTTTTGATCCAACTCTGCATTCTACTTTTTCTTCACTTCAGTCCTCAAAAATATGGGGCTGCCGAGTTCAAGTTTCTGAAATTAGTTTTAACTGTAGACTCTCTGATGACGTTTTGTATTTCTCTCATGCCCTTTGTTCACAACTTCTCGAATTTCTGCGACTCTAGTTCAGATTTGCTCGTTATGAATATCAGACCTGGGTGGAGCGGCAAGTTTGCGTTTGAGCTTGCAGTCGCGTTTTCGATGTCGTTTCTCATAACTATCGAGTGGTTTTGGATGTTGCTCCGACTGAAGTATTTCCCGATGGCAAAATGTGTAGCTTTTGGCGACCGACAGTATCAAACGATAGCTTCACCAAAGAAAGTGAACACCATTAGTTTCGTTGTGTTGCTATTTGCGCTGTTACTAAGCCTGGGAGTCGTATCTCTTGGAACAGTGAGTCCCAATTTCAGCTCACGGATCCCACAAATATATATTGAGCATCCGATTTTGTTCTCATTTGAACCGGTCGTTATTTTCCTACTTCAGTTCGGAGTTTCAATCATGTTGTTTGTCGATTCCGTGCGCCATCAAGCATTCAAACTTTCCTACGTCATTCTGGGGACTTTTATATGTTTAGCCAACGCGGCTCGGATTTACTGCTTCCACAGTTCGAGAAAAGCTCAGGAATCGTTTGTTAACTTTTACTTCGAAAAAATATGGACTTGTAATTTAGACGCTCTAACGGAATGTGCAGTCGCTCTACCTTCTATTTCTCCTTTACTTGATGTGTTTCTTTTAATTCTTAAACTAATTGATTATATCTTACTGTTTTATGTTATCAACTTGTTGTTACCATTCAAAAGACCCTTCAATGTTTTGACCTCTATCAAAGAAATCATGCAGCCCACGAGCTCAAGTCTGTTGTCAAAATCGAAGCCAAAAGTGACCGTCCTGGTTTCGAATCCGAGCAGTGACGGGATGATTGAGACCTTTTACTCCCCTTCGCCTTCGATGAATTTCAAGGACACGCAAATTGTCCATTTGGGAGCTCATAGTTCTCAAGAGAAAGGAATACAGATGAAGCAGCTCAAGCCTTCTCTAGAAGTAGCGAAAAGTGGTAGAAGTCCCAAACAAGGGATTGTCAGGGCGGAAGTTTCGAACCCCGATTCGGCGACAACGAGTAACAATTACACACCTCAACAGCAGCACAAAAATCAAGACCATCAGTTAGTTAATTGCCCAGATTGCGCAAAGACTATCAGAGTTGCCACGTGGGTTAATTACCTGCCACAACCCACCCCAAAAAGGAAACACTTCGCGAACCCAAACAGACGAGGGATTCCAACCTTAACCGCTAATTGTATGACTGGATCTCCGACTAGTAGTAATACATTTAGCCCAGTCTACCCTCTGCAAGTACCGACAAGTCCTCGTATCAACGTCCCGGCGGCACCCAGTACTGTTTCCAGGAGCTTTCCCGGTTCACCGGTGATGTCTCACAGGAGCTCATCAGTAGGTAGCAGTAGAAAAGCTTCAAGCAGGTCGGCTAAACCGGAAAGTGGGAATGAAAGTCTGGGAGTGTATCTTATACCCGAGAGTCACAGACGAATTTTGAGTCAGTACAACGCGAGTCCGGTGGCTTTGAGGAGGAAGAAGCCCTTATCACCGCTGGTTACAAGTGACAGGAAAGTGGAAAACCAGAGTGCAATGCCGAGTGGAAGTCAGAGTAATCCAGCCACTCTGAGGAGTCAGAGGACGGCGACGTTTAATGAACCGGAACCGAGTGCTGATTCGGATGCTCAAGCGACGCCCCGAGCGCGAGACTCGAGACCGATTGATTTGGATCTGGAAAGTGGAAATCGGATATCAAACTCGACAACTGCCTCGCATAGCAACAGAGGCGGAAGCGATTCGTTTGATTCGGAGGAAGATACGAGAACTGAAATAGGACTGTGCACATCTCTTCTGTGATTAAAAAAATGAAGCATTAAATTCAGGTTTTGTCAACAGTAATGGTTATGTCAACCGTAATTAAAAAATAGTTATTAATCTATTTTATTGCTAAAGCTATTTTTCGCCGCGAAGAGTTTGCGAGAATAAACGAAGTGATTACGAGCTCTTATTTAAATCTCAATACTAGTAAAAGCTCAAATGAAATTCAACTAAATGAGTCACGAATTCTGAAGCAACTTAATTGTTATCGGGATTTCGCTAGGATATGCTTATTGGTAAGGATAAATGATAGTAAAACAAAGTAGATTTCCAATCTTAATATCCTTACGAGGCCAAAATGTGTTGTTGATACGCGCACCTGGAATCCGGATACCAGCCTTCAATCATGTTCTATATTCTAAGTGGAATCCACTGCTAAATTATTGCGGAATCCACAAGCAAACAATTCTAACGTAAAATCTGTGGGCACATGATTTGTCGGCAAGATTCCGCATTTGTAAATAGGTTCCGCAAATTGTTATTGGATTCCGCAAAACATACTTAACCAGCAATTCTCAATTCAGAGATAGCTAGAGAGAGAGAGAGAGAGAGAGAGAGAGAGAGAGAGGAGAGAGAGAGCGTGAAGAATTAAGAGCTATAGCTAAAATCAAAAGCAGTTGCGAAAATCAAGAACAAGGATTCAACTATTGTTTTTGGACTTAGTTTCAAAGTCTTTAATTATTTGTTAAGTTGAAACCTTGGATATAATACCCCTTTGAAAATCAAAATGAGCAGTTGAAATCCAAATATATTTTTTCAGAATTTCGGATGAACGTTCTCGAAATGAACGTTTCTTACAGGCGATAAGTTTGGGGCTTGAGTCCTGGTCGGACCTCGTTTTATTTTTTATATGTTATTGTATGTATGTATGTATACCTCGCCTTGCTATGGAACCTTGACAACTTTCAGGCCCCTTCCCACTTGATCCAGAGGTAAAGCACGTGACTTAGGAACATAAGGTGCGAGCTTTGATCCCCGACGGGGCAGATTTTAAGAAATTGACTTTGCTTCAATTTTGAAATTTAACATGAAGCAGACCCCTCTAACTTGGTCTAGAGGTAAAGTAGGTGCCTTGGGACTTTAAAGACTAGAGTTCGAGTCTCCGTCGGACCTTGTTTTCTTCGATGTACCAATTGGTTTTTTGAAAACTTGAATTGTCCGACCATCTTTTTTCTATTTATTTTTGTCGGTTTAGTTTCCAAAGCCTGTAATTGTCTAAGATCATTAAGTGTTTCAAACATATTTAAGTACAATTGAAAGTTGTTCTTTTGTTTTGAAGGTTTTCCAATTGACTTTTCTTGATTATTTTAAATTTTATTCGTGTTTTTTCTTTTAAATGGGTTCGGTTTATGCTATATTACTCAGTTACCTCATTTAGCGTATTTTAAAGTGCGAAAAAAATTGAATTATTTTGTTTCTTCAGCTTTCAGAAGGATTTTTTTTGGCTAAACTGGCATTTAATTAAGTATTGTTGGCGTAGTTGCCGCTCAGCAAATGATTTTGAAAGGTTAATTCCCGTTGGTGATAGTGTTTTTGACATATTTTCCTCACATTGAAGATCACTCGAGACATATTTTGATATTACAGATGTAGTTTAGAAATTTTTGCTGCCGTCTAACTTTCTCTCTGCTAATTTACATGGTGATGTTTGTGTTGTATCTCAAGAGTTGCGAAGCTCCGTTTTCAGTTTGTGTAGAATTTTATCATGTTTTCATTTTGTGATTGAAATCGATCGTTTGCTTGAATTTCCAACTAAATTTAGAAATATTTGTAGGTCAGATTTAAAATGTAGGTCGTAATTTCATCGTTATGGCTGACGATAACTTTAATATTTTCTATCCTAGTTGCTGATAATTGCTTTGAATTTCCAACTAAATTTAGAAATATTTGTAAGTCAGATTTAAAATGTAGGTCGTAATTTCATCGTTATAACCGCCGATAATTTCAATATTTTCTATCTTAGTTGCTGATAACTAATAATGTAAATTATAATATTCATGCAATCACATAATCTAAACACACAATCACAAGGAAAAGTGACTTAAAATGAAATCATAAATTGATGTCCATATAAAAGTCTTGAGGCGAACCATTCGAATGTAAACAATTTGTCAACTTATGTATGATTATTTGCATGCAGATTCGTCAATTGTGCTGGATTTCGAAATTGTTGTCGCAGATTCTGCAAGGTTTCTGGTCTTGGAGTTATTGGAGCGAAAAAATGTTTCAGCCATTTGTGTGTGCTATCCAAAACAGCTAAAAGATCAAAGAAAAAGCTTTGTTGCGGATTCCACGACAATGCTTTTTCAGCTCATTTTGTTTTCTCACAATCCGTCCACAGTTCACAAAATGCACAGTTTGGTCTTGTAAATGGCGACAACAGTTAAGACCAGGTAAAAATTATTAATCCTCAAATGAGTTTGTGTTTTTGTCTCCAGAAAATAGCTCAAAAATCATCAGTTGGAAGAAGTTCTAGAATAGATATCCGAGGACTTTCATTTGTATGAAGGTACTCTGGGTGCTTAAGTGACTGCGGAGATTGCACAGTCCTTTATTGAATGGCCCTTTATCTAATTTTTTATACCAGGCGTGATCGTATTTCCTAGCTTGCTGAAATAGATTTTTTTGAAAATTAACTTCCGAAGTTAAACCTTTCGCTAAAAGTATCACAATTAAAGCTCTGCAAAAGTGCAAGTGGTGCGAATAAGTGTGATTTATTTTTCAAATTCAAAGTTTTCCGCAGAATAAAAGTCGTTGACAAAGAGCCTTTGTGATGTTCATTTTTCTTCCAAATCCAAAATTTAAGTATTTTAATGTAGAAGTCGATCGTTTTTCGGTTTCATCGATCTGTTTGTTGGCTATATTTTGGATAGTTTGAATGAACCGAGTGCCAATTTAGTGCGTATAGAACATGTAACTCGTTTCAAAAAAGGAAATGAAGTGATTCGATCCTAAAATTAATTCAATTTTTTTTAAATTCAATAATTCCTTTATTGCGAGGTACGACAATTTTTGTGGATTTTTCAAAAATTACCAGAAATCTTAGATATAAAAAGTTTCACCGTATTTGAAATTTCCAACCCTGTAGTTGGGTGCTGTCCGCGTTTTCTTAGAGGTTCAAATCTTGTCTCCAAATGAGGCTGCTCAAATGCGTTATATTTCAAGTTGTATTTTAAGGGGGTGGAAAGGAAGTATACGTAGGCGAAACTAAAAACCTTATCCAAATTCTGTGAGCTTTGTTTTTTTTTATGAATTTCGCGAATTGAAATAATTTTATTTCTAGTTCTGTAATAGTTCTGTTAAAATTTCATTTCTTTTTCAAATTTAAATAATTACAAGAGTCATCGAGCTTCATCAAAAAAGCACCTGCGTGCGGCTGATTCCTTTTTAGAGCCAACGCTAGGTCACGAGTTATTTCGGCAGTGCAGGAAATCGGATTTGATTCAATTTCGATTTGTATAAATATTTTTCTACAACTTGTGTACTAGCGTGAGTTACAAATCATGCACATCTTTTCGCACAAATTTTGCACGAAAATTTCAAAAAAAAAATTTTCACAATAACAATTGAGGTTATAGGCTGATAGTTAGAGACATTCCGTTTTTTCTATTCATTAGAACTTCGGGTCATTTGATCTCTAAAAAATGGTAGCTCAATGAGCTGGAGTTACTTTCACTGTCTCTTATGAAAAGAAGCAGCCTTGTTCGTTTGACCACTTGCCCTTTGAAATACTGATGCTCTGTTGTGATATTTAAGTCGGCCTTGTGTCTTTCCACAGTTTCGTTTACGATCGCTTGAGAAGGTTTGGGCCGGAAAAACGTAGCGTCCAGACTCCTAACGACAGCCGAGAAGTATTAGATAAAAAACGCTTTTATCGGCGTTCAGAACCGCCTCATTGCTTAACAGTCTCGGCAGCAGAAAACTTTATTTTCTTCTGTTCGTCTCGAGCTTCTTACGAATTCAATGTATCATGATTTTGGCTTCGAATTGTTCTGTCTCCGGGGTGTAAAGTCTTAGATCAGTCTGAAAACGCAGTCTTAGCATAGTTTGACATTGAAGTTAACTCCGAAGTTAACTTGAAGGCTGCTCGACCAGTATTTCAGCCAGGCCTTCAAAATCACATTTGAGGAAGCTGTGCAATAAAAGAGCGATTGGCTAAATTGAAATGAAATATGAAATGGGAACTTGTTGTGACCGAAACGTTGATATAATCTGAGCTTTATTCGAATACAAATCACTTTAAAGAAAAATTATTTAATTTTTTGAACCATCTTAAGTTTGTGATTATTTTGAAATGTCGGCATTCTACGCAATGTTTAAAGGGTTTCCCAGCCACTAGTCCGACAGGCATTTAATTCGACCGGCCTGATTCAAATTAGTAACCAAAACAGATGAGATTTTTCCGAAATTGAAATTGTATCAATGAAATCTGGAATTGAAATTGGTTGTGACCAGAACGTTCAACTAGTCTGAGCTTTATTCAAATACCAATCATTGTTAAGAAAAATTATTTAATTTTTGGAAACAGCTGAAGTTTGTCACTTCGTTCTGATTTGTCGGATTTCAACGCAAGGTTTAAAAGGTTTGCCAGCACCTAGTCCCAACCTAGCGTCCAGCCAAACGAGCGCTCGTTTCGGTATAAATATGCCAGAAACAGCCTCTTTCAAATGAGAGTCAAGACCTTGCGTTTTTTCTTACGTCTCCTGGAATGCAAATCACTTTTTTGTTCCTTCGCATGCATAATATTTTTCTTTTTTTTTTCATTTAGGAACCGGTAATTTTTCATTGTTGTAAATAAGTGCCCACTCAAGTCGTTCTGGAAATAAAGTTTTTGGATTAAAGCGTCTTTTTGCAAGTTTGCAATTACTATCGATATACTGGGATGCTATCCAAGTGTGTGGAAATGTCTGTTATGGGCTGAATAGCGTTTGCGACTGCGAAGTTTGGAGTATTACTATCGCTCAGGACCTTCATGTTTTTCACAACTTGTCGAGCATGCGGGTATTGCCGTAAAAATGTGATTATGTTCACCCCTCGTTTCAATAAAAAAAGTATTTATCCATATTTTCTGTTTCTCGCCTTTTATGATTAGCAGTTCCAGTTCGTTGCATTGTTTTTGCGCCTACGAAAATATTCGTGGCCTGAATCCGCTACTGCTTGTAAAGATTAGAGCAAACTGATCTCCACCTCCGACATTAGTTTTTTTGGCGTTAATTGGGCTTAGTTTGAGTTTGTCGCTGTGTTTTCTTAGAGCTTTCAGCAGCTACTCTCGTTTTTCTAATGTCGTTTTGAAGCAAATTCAGTCATCATTCGGACTCTGAAAAGTTTAACAAAAAAGTTTTTTAATGTCAGAAACGCTAATCAATTGTGTATCGAATACTTTTGGGAGGCTTGAAACATAGAAAATGTTTCAGACAAAAAATTGCCCATGGTACCACGTTCAGTTTGGTATATGTTTTGAACCCGACTCAACTCGCTAAAGAGAATTTTAAGCTTGGCATCCTTTAAAAAACGGTCCCCAAGTTTATCACTCCACGTATTTTTAACCCCCTCTCTTATCACCCTAGCATTAGATAACCCCACTACAATTTAAGCGCTTTTTTTTTACCAATTGTTAGAATTAAAGAGAAACTTACTTGAAAGGAATTCGGAACCATAGCGTCGGTAAACATATAAGATTTAATGGAAATTTTTTTTGCGAAACAAAACGAATTTACATACAAGCTGCTAAATGCGGTGTAGACTTGAACTGAAATGAGCTTGCCGATAGTCTAGTTTTTGATATGAAATTGAAAACTAATCCGAGCGGTATGATTTAAATTAGTATCGAAAATGCTTAGTTTCATCCGAAATTGGACTTGGACCTTGAAAATATTTTTGCTAAAAAGAGAATAATCGGCTGAATTTAAAGCGAATAGAAAACTCTTCAAACATTATAGTTCAGAAAATGGTACAACAATGGTTAAAGAACAAGGTAGTATGATTTTTAAACAAATCTCAGAAACGCCTTTTGTTGCCTTCGATTAGCACCATGTAGGATATCTGTTTTGAACGCGTGAATGTGGGAATTTCTGGGGCTAATCGAAATTCCATAACTATTGATTAATTAAAATCAACTAGTGGATATACAATGGATTCTCTGGCATCAATTAGTTCACTTAATTGGAATACTACTACGGTTGTAAAGAGACTTAGTTTGAAAAAGGGTGCAATGCTGAAAGAGGTTAAATTGTTTTGGGTTTATATCGTTACGGGGTTAAAAAATGAGGGATGTTAACATAGGGGGTTAAACAACGTGGGGTTAAAGAGTGGGATACCGTTCGTTTTAAAATCTAAAGTGACAAATATTCCTTCACCATTTTTGTGCTAAAAATCATTGACGTAGTGGTATCTCATCTAGTTACCCTTGGAAAAGCTGTATTTTGACTATCATTATGTTGCTCAAATTTTGCCAATTTAATACTTTTTATTCCCTAACTTCCGAAGCGATTTGGAAGGAACTGTGGTGAAAGGTGTTTGTTGTCAAATTTGAAATTTTTCAAAAAACTAGTTCTTTGAGCCGTGATTCGGATTCCGAAAAAAAATCAAACAAGTTGTCTGATTATAGAGAAAATCTGGTCTGCGTTTCAAAGGTTTCAGACTACATTAGACGAAACAGGAGTTAAAAGCTGGCCTCGGAAATTGATTCTACTAATGTTTCAACGCTATTTAAGCTAATATTTAACTCTCTCTCTCCCAAGTTTATTCACCTACTTCGATAGCTTTTCTTGAAAAATGTTGGCTGTTAATTTTGGACAAGCAAAAATGAAAATCTCTAGGTAGTTGCTTGAATTTTTTCTACCCTTGCGATTAGCGAGTAGGTTGCAACCGGGTGTTCGACATTTCCCCGTGAATAAATTTGGTCACAGGATGTATCAAATTGGTGGTCATCTCTACATCTGTATTTTTTTTTCAACTAACAGACAAAGTTCTAGCGTTTCTGGTTGCCCGTTCTTCTAGAACGTTATTACTTTTTGTGTTGGTTGTCAATATATTAACTCCGTTTTCAGCATATCCTTTTCATTTTTTTTTCATTTGGGTTAAAAGTTCAGAATAGATTGTATCTGCTTAGTAACCGTTTGCAAGTTTTGTTTTGATGCTTTATTAGCTTTTAATTGGATTAACTGGCAGGTTTTTCACGGACGCAATTTGATTGAAGACAATATCTAGACAAAGATTGAAAATTTTAGTAGATAAATAAACTTTTCGACTTTTTGCGAAAAAAAATGAAAGTTTTCTTCGTTTTTCGTCTCGTTTCTGTCTGCCTACGTTTGAGTTGCACCGCAAGTCGTGGGAAGCTTGTTTCACGCTGAGTTGATTTTTTTAATCAGTGTGGTCGGAACATTCTGTGCTGCTTGCAGAGCAACCGTCTATCTTTGTCTGTCTAACTTATAGCAAAACTGGATTCCTATTATTCAAGTCTTCGCTTACTACAGAAACAGACACCTTTAGATCATTGTCTCATTTTCATTCATTTTTCTGGAGTATCGGTCAAATAAGACGACAGCTGTTACGGCGACAGTTATTAGGAGGGAGGCATCAAGAAGACAAATTAATAAGAGCGAAGAAATACTAGGCATTTATCTACACCGCTCTCGTTTCAATGTTTTTAACCAGGGAACTGAAAATTTAATTTTACATTAGCCTTGCGGTTATCAAGCTTTATCAAGTTGGAAGTAGTCTTTTTCAGGGTGACATCTTATCAAAAGAATCCCTGAATCACTTCTTCGAGAATTCTTCGGTAAACTCTGTTGCCTCAACTAGTAGACATTTTGTTGCACTAGACATTTTCAGGGCAGCAATTTGTCAATTGAGTCTCTGAATCGCTTCTTCGAGAACTCTTCAATCAAATATGTCTTTTAGCAAATAAGTTAGACAAATTAATTTGACCAGTTAGACATATTGTTGAACTGAACTCAACTCTGTCATTTCGTCAGTTAGTTGAAATATTGTTGAACAAGACTTTTTCAGACTTGCATTTTGTCAAGAGAATCTTTGAATCACTTCTTCGAGAACTCTTCAGTCAACTTTGTCATTTCGTCAACTAGTAGACATTTTATTGAACAAGACTTTTTTCAGGGCAGCAACTTTATAACTTGAAACTCTAGATCCTTTCTTCGAAAAATTTTTGGTCTATTCTGTCATTTCGTCAACTAGTAGACATATAGTTGAACTAGATTTTTTTTAGGGCCGCAACTTGTCAATAGCATCTCTGAATCACTTCTTCGAGAACTCTTCGGTCAACTCTGTATTTTCTTCAACTAAAGGACTTATTGTTGAACTAGACTTTTTTCAGGGCAGCAACTTGTCAATAGAATCTCTGAAACACTTGAAATCAATTGACTCAGAAATCACGTCATGAAGCCAAACTGTGCACTGGCTGGGCAGACAGTTTTGTGCCTGTATGGTCCTGGATTCCAGAGACAAGTCCCCAAACATATTAAATTTTTGTCGGAACGATCAAAGAAAATGAAAGAACAAAGGGAGCGTCATTGTTGCGAAATCCGCTCACAACTCTCAAAATTTACAGTTTGCCAGAAATCTTCTGGCATTTCGGCCATTGTTACTTTTATTGTTGACCTATTTTTATCGGCTAAGTTAATGCTTTTATAAATTTTCACTGCTTTTGGCTATCGATTGTCTTTTTTGAAATACTTCCCTCTAATGAACAACTTTTTGGATGATCCTATGATATTTTTGGTATACTTTTCCATTTATTTTTCGAGTGGCTTTTGTGTCATTTTCTATGAGCCAGCTTGCCATGCTATGTTTGTGCTCCGCTTCGTCTCGCTTGTGTTTTAGTTTTGGTGTCGTTTAAATGTTTTGTTGTCTTTTTTACTTAGCTATCACCGTATCTATCATCGTTTTCTGGGAGTTTAGAATTTTGTGAAATGTTTTAGGAAACTTGAATTAAGTTGTCTATTTTGCTTTACATGAACCAAGTGTCAATTATTAACCAGCGTTGAACATAGTTCAGTATCAGTACCTTTGCAAAAGTCCATTCTCTGCAAAAGTTGGGCCCTCAAAATACAATAAAAGAGCTCTTGCCTTTTGTGAACTTCAATCTATATTTACATCTGGGTCTATTGTTAAAACGTATTAGCTCTGAACATCCTTTCAGATCAATATGTGAAGTTTGCACTGCTAGGTTTTTGAGTTCAAGGGCAGCGGGCGGAGTTTTCATCAACTACTTCTACATGTTCAAGAATTCTTTTCAGTTTATGTCATCGTTTCGTGATCAATCAATCAACGTTCAATCATTAAATGTGGCCGAAGTTTTGACGAACTGAATAAGTTATAACATTCTCGATTTATGTAAAATTGTAACCATCTTAAATAGAGAACCGTAAATTGCGCAGTAATTCACTTGTTGCACGTCTATTTAAATCAGCATTACTTGGATTCAAAGCAGTATAGCATACAAGTCCAAAGGTAATTCAAATTCATATAAAAGATGATAAAGATTAGTTAGTAACAACATTTATCTGTGACGTTGGACTGGAACTATTAAATTTTATTTACTCGAATAGAACATCGCTGTCCAATCAGTTGCTTACCAGTTCCTTGCCACGTTGCCATTTCTGTGGTTGGCTAAATATGGAACCAATTTAAAACCTTCTTGAAGAAACACCTACTTAGAACTATTTGGTTTGAGAACTGGAAATGCGATCGCATTAAATCCGTAGCAGGATTTGCGGATGAAAACTTGATGCTAATTAAGGGAAACAAACATCTCGAGCAAGCAACAGGTTCGAATTCGAATCAGCAGATCTCGCCATTGAAAGGGCAACTGTTTTAGTTATACAAGCGACTCAACGTTGGCAATTTCCAAACTGGACTTAAGTTTTTGACCTTCACCTTTTTGTGAGCATCTGTTATGATCAGTTTTGCAACTTGATTGCCGCAAAAGAGCCTGAAGTTAAACTCGGCACACAGGGATTAGATTTCAGCTTAAGTTGAATAGTTAGTTACTATAGTGTTCCTGCATCTACAAAAATGGAAGCATGGGCAGCCAAGTTAATCTGCCTCGTGTCGCTTCTCACCGACTGTTTAATCTTCGGATTCATCCCGAGAATAATCATCCCACCCCCTAGACGTCCTGGTCAGTCTTATCGCGACTATGTGCGCGACTCACGCAAGTGGTACCACGTGTCCAAGAAGTACAGACGCATGTTCGTTTCTCTGGTGGGCACTTTTGGAGGAGGGGTGTTCCTGGCCACGTGTCTGCTTGACCTGCTCGTGGATGTCACTGAGGACTTCGAAGAGTTCTTCAAGCAGGTAGTACAATTCTTGCAGCCACGGGGCAGATCTCGGATTTCACCAGCGAGGGGGAGCACTTTTTTCTTGGTCTTTCCATTTTTGTCGACATCTTTTGAGTTCTCCCAAGACTATATTTTTCAAAAACAGACTTTCAAAAATGACAAAGTACTATTTTGAGCATTTTTCGAGAGGTTTTTTTCGACGCTCGTTTCCCTTTCAAAATTGGTTTTTAAAATTGTACCAAAAGAGGGAATCTTCGGGTATCATTAAGGTTATCGGGTTTCTAAAGGGAGGTGCGTCCTCGCATCCACCACCTCGCTAAACCGGCTACTGCATTAAGCATTAAATGAGTTGCCGTCGTATTTTATGGTTGTATTATCCACAATTCACATTTTTCTGTAAAAATTTTTCTCTTGTCTTTATTTTCGTCTGCAATTATTATGCTTGGATTCTGTAATCAAACTTTAGATAGCACTACTTAACTAAGTTTTTTCTAGGCAGACCTGGACATTGACTTTCCCTTCGCCGAATTCACTGCTTGCGTCGGTTTCTTCTTCATTCTTTTCATCGAACAGATGGTGCTATATATTAAAGAGCTGTCCCGACCTAGGGCAGAGTCTCTGGACAGTATGAGCCGGACCTCTTCTATCAATCAGACTGGCAGTCAAGGGGACCTCATGGACATAGATAGACTGAGTTCAAGTGGCAGTAGCAGGCGTGGATCCACTTTGGGCTCAATGCGAGGTATAAAAACGAGAGTAGATTATGTCAATAGGGAGGTTGACATCACAAATACGATGGGCGAAGAGGCCGCGGACTCCATGGAACCATCTAAACTCAGAGCAGCCATCTTACTTCTAGCTCTATCTATCCACTCAGTGTTCGAAGGTTTAGCTGTCGGTCTAGAACCCTCGACAAGCCAAGTGTTTCAACTATTCAGTGCTCTCATTGTGCACAAGTCTGTTCTTGCATTCAGTTTGGGAATGAGTGTGGTTCAAAGTGATATGACAATGAAGGAAACCTTTTTCTCGGTTCTCGGATTCGCCTCGGCGTCGCCAGTCGGAATCGCGATTGGAATCTTAGTGGCACAACAACAGGGCTTGTTCAGTCTGGGTCTTAGTACAGTGCTGCAGGGCCTGGCGACTGGAACCTTTCTCTACATCACATTCTTCGAAGTTCTGCCTCTGGAGTTCAACTGCAGTAGATGGAGAATGCAAAAGGTGGCTTCTCTGATACTGGGATTCGGAGTGATGTGTTTCATGATAATTTATACTCACGACTAATGCCACTCAAAGAGGCAGTGTTAATTCAGTTCTCAACTCAATTAAACTATGTTCAGTTGATCAACAATATTTATTTCAATTTTACACTTCCTAGATTCAGTTATTTTTCTTGACAAGAAACTAAACAAGCAAGCATCAAGCGAAAATAAGATAGGTTGCTTGTTGTGCGAGCAGATCAGAATGATCAAATCAGATTTAGAAACAACGATTTTATTATTTGAAATTCCAATAGGCTGTTTCGAATTTCGGATTGTGCGGGCTATATAGAGTTTCATGGCTTTTTAGTAACAGCTCATTTGAGATTTTCAATAAAATTGGCACTGTAACGGGCCCAATTTAACTCCTAAAAGCTAAAATGTTATGAAAAAAAGTATTCCGAAAAAATGCCTCCGAAAATTTATTTTTCAGTGCTCGGATTAAAAATTTTAGATATTAAGAGAAAAGCAGGTTCATGAAAAAAATGCACAGCTCGCAAATAATAATCGTCATTACGCATGCGATGAGAAAGCATTATCCAATCAGAGTATAAATTTTTTTGTGTTACAACTTGCTTAAAAGAATAACTTTAATTACTTGGTCTCTTGGTTCATAATGAATTCAAATTTGCAAGCGTCTCTGGCATACTTAGTCTGGAGGTAAAGAATACGCCTGGGACGCCAAAGGTACTGGGTTCGAATCTGATCAGGACCTGTTTTTTTGTAAATGTGAAATATTCGTTTCAAAAAAATTGTTGGCGTATCATTTGTCTGCTTATGTTTTGTCGAAATAGTTGCCCTATCATAGATTTTTTGTTCGCAGGTTTTTATGTTTTCAATATAGTTGCTTTTCTATGTATTCATTTGCTCCTGCAATTTGTCATTCTACTAGCCTTGACTTCGTAGAATGACAAATAGCAGGTTCATGAAAAAAATGCACAGCTCGCAAATAATAATCGTCATTACGCATGCGATGAGAAAGCATTATCCAATCAGAGTATAGTTTTTTTTTGTGTTACAACTTGCTTAAAAGAATAACTTTAATTACCTGGTCTCTTGGTTCGTAATGAATTCAAATTTGCAAGCGTCTCTGGCATACTTAGTCTGGAGGTAAAGAATACGCCAAAGGTACTGGGTTCGAATCTGATCAGGACCTGTTTTTTTGTAAATGTGAAATATTCGTTTCAAAAAAATTGTTGGCGTATCATTTGTCTGCTTATGTTTTGTCGAATTAGTTGCCCTATCATAGATTTTTTGTTCGCCGGTTTTTATGTTTTCAATACAGTTGCTTTTCTATGTATTCATTTGCTCCTGCAATTTGTCATTCTTCTAGCCTTGACTTCGTATATTTTACTTTCTTTATTTTTTTCTTAGAAAATTTTTCGGCCTTAATGATTTCGGCTTATATGTTACCGGCTTGCTAACCTAATTTTGGGTCGTTCGAAGGAACCTTAATATGTGTGTTTTCCTGCGGATCGCACAAAACGAATAGATATTGTTGTTCAAAATTTTCATGGAAACAAATTTTTTTTTCGCTCGATAATTATTTTGAAGTTTTGCCGTCGAATGTGTTTCTGGACGTTTTTTCCGCAAGTTTTAAAGTTTTTTAGTTGTGGCTTCTTCGAAAATTTTTCAGTAGTTTTGGGACTAAGAGGCTCTTCTTCTCTTTCCTGTTTGCTCCGCTTCACCTCTGTGTTTAAATATTTTTTGCATACCATTGGCAATTAAATAGCATCTATTGTAACTGCTCGATTGATGGCTATTTTTTACTGAGTGATAAGCGATCATAGTGCAGATGTCAGGAGAGAAGGCTCTTAATCTTCAGGTCGGGGGATTCGACTCCGGTATATATCAAATATTGGGCAAATAAATCGCATCTGTCGTATCAGACTTAGTGGTGGTCAGTGTTTGCAGATTGACGAAATATCATCGTGTTTGAAATTTTTACCCCGCAAAATCAGTTACTATAATTATTCTTCAGAATATGTAGAGTAATATATCATCTTGAGAACTCTTTCAGTCGTGATTTGAACGAGATTGATAAAATCAAAAGTTTTTCCATTGTCGAGAAAGACCGATTTGCAAACATTTCGCCTAATTTTGAGCGTGTTGTAGTAGGTTTTATAAAAGGGAATTTTTTTTTCAAGCATTAAAAAACTTCGTTTTATTCTAGGAAAACCTGTTTTTGATGCTTCACTCTGAGCTTTGTCAATAAAATTGTTTAAAATTTAAAACAAAATTTGTCAAAAAAATGTGAAGTGTCAAAAAAGATGTTGATTAATATATTAGCGTTCTAAGCATTTTTCTTATCACCAAAAAAATCGACTCAAATTTTTCAAATGTTTTTTTTTCAAAATTTAATATGAACGTGGTCGGAACTTTCTGAGCTACTTGCACAGCAACGGGCTACTTGTTTTCCATCGGTGTTTGTTTCCTGTTTCTAATAAATAGTTTTCGTGTAGAGAGTGATGCCGAGTTAAAAGTACATGATAGCTCTAATGATTCTAGTGAAAAATTGCTCTACTCGAAATTAGAATAGGCACAAAAAAGCAGTCGTATGAAACTGTCATATAAAGGTTTTGTATTGAATGGAAACGATCTGTTTTTGGGCTTTCACAAATAGTGTTTATTTTATCAGAAAGATGTCTTTGTGATATTTTTCAAAATACATTTCAATTTGCAAATTTTGTTGTTTCTTTATGTTCTCTTTTGTTCAGTTATCTCCCCCATTTGTTGGTTCTTTGTTTCAAATGAAAATTTGATATTTCACTTGAAATTTTTCTTACATTGAATTCAAAACAGCATGGGCTGCATTTCAAGTAATGCCTTCATCAAATTTATAATATTTCGTTAGTCTCTTACATTCATCCCTTACATAGCTTCATTTTCAGAATGAGTTTGTCTTTGTTGTCTCGCAGGTTTTGCTCCTCATCTGCGAAGCCCAAAACGGGAATTCTAATGTTAAATATGGGAGGACCCGCGAATGTTGGCGAAGTGAACATGTTTTTGACCAGGCTTTTCCAGGACCGAGATCTAATCCCGCTGGGACCCTTTCAGAAATACCTCGGACCCCTCATCGCTAAGCGCAGGACGCCGGAGATCCAGAAAAAGTATTCGGAAATTGGAGGCGGATCGCCAATTCGTATGTGGACTGAAAAACAAGGCGAAGCAATGGTTAAAATGTTAGATCAAATTAGCCCTCAATCAGCGCCTCATAAATATTACATAGGGTTCCGTTACGTAGACCCTTTAGTCGAAGATTCAATAGTGGAAATGGAAAAGGATGGCATTGAGCGTGCCATTGCATTCACTCAGTATCCTCAATATTCATGCTCCACTACTGGTTCCAATCTCAACGCAGTATACAGACATTACCTTAGTCTATGCAAAAAGCCAGAAGACGATCCTTTCTCAATGGCTAGCAAGCTGAAATGGTCAGTGATTGACAGATGGCCCACACATCCGAAACTCGTCCGTGCTTTCGCCGACTCAGTTCGAGAGTGCCTCGAAGAATTCGACGAGGATAAACGAGACGAAGTAGTGATTCTGTTCTCAGCGCATTCGCTGCCGACTAGTGTTGCGTTCCGAGGCGACACGTACCCAGCGGAAGTAGCCGCGACCGTGATGGCGGTAATGAATGATATCAAATTCTCGAACCACTACAGACTTGTGTGGCAGTCTAAAGTGGGACCCCAGACATGGCTCGGTCCCCAGACTGATGAAGCGATAGAAGGGTTGGCAAAATTGGGCAAAAAGAATATAATGCTTGTGCCAATTGCATTCGTGAATGATCATATTGAGACACTGCATGAATTGGACATTGAGTATATGGAAGAGTTGGGTGAAAAACTGGACGTCAATATCAAAAGAGCGAAAACTCTGAACGACCGACCAGTGTTTCTGGAAGCGCTGGCGGAAATTGTGAAAGAACACGTTGAAACTGGATACAATCATACTAAACAGTTAACTGTGAGATGTCCAAACTGTGTAAACCCCACTTGTGCTGCTATGAGAAAATTTTTTATTCCTTCATACTAAGGTCTCGAACTCAGGGCTCAGAGAACTTCATGCACTCAGAATGGGCATACTTACTTAACAGACACTTTATTCTAAATTCTGTATTATTTTTGTTCCGACCACTGAAAATGAGAAGGAAATTTGTATTCGTGTTTTTTTTTCATGCAGAATCACATACTAAAAATCGGGGGTCAATCGATGCATAAAAAATTGAAAAAATTCTTGCGGTTTTGAGAAAAATAAGCTCATTTTTTTAATTCTGAATCATTCAATGTTGACCTGTGCAAACTAAAATGAACTTGAGAAAAAGTAATTTAAGCTTTGTTTTAATTGCTCAAATTAATTCTCAAAAATTCACATTCTCGATCCTAAAGTACCCCCCTAAAAAAACTAAATTTTCACTTAGCCACGGTAACAGTGGCTGGAACCAATTGTATAGTTTGCATAGCAGCTTGCATTTCAGGTTGTAAAAAGCATTTGTTGCAGAAATGATAAATTGAAATTATTCTACTTCAAAATATTTTGGCTATAAACTTTGCTTTAGTCGCCAGCAAAGGGTGTTTCGCGATAACAAGTAAGTGATTGAGTTTGACTGATATTATCAGCTCTGTTAGCTTGTTGTCATAGGAAAAGCTTGAGCTCAAATTTATTTGGTGTAGATGAATTTGAACACCTTGGCTTCGGATTTCAAATCACTGACGAAAATGAACTTGTTGTCAAAAGCGGACAAGTCGTGAGGATCTTGCATGTTGGAATCCGAAAACATGGTGACCTTGCCCTCTTTAACAGTCGGCATTACGACTCCAAACGCTTTTCGCGCCTCTCGTTTGTTCTCGGCTGAGTACAAATTGCCGATGTTGTAGTCAACTGCGTATACCGAGCTCCCAGTTTCGATAACGTCCAATTCTTTTCCGAATGAGTTTGAGCTGATGTTGTAGACACATATTCGGTCATTTTCTCTGTCGGCTACAAAGAGCATTCGGTTGGCTTCGTCAATAGCCAAATCATGTGCCACTCTGAACTCTTGTCCGAAACATCCTTTAATGCTCGTTTTGAACTTTCCGTCTCCGGTGAAAACTGCCACTCTTTTATTGCAGTAGCCATCAGCTACAAAAATAAGACCGCTCTTTGCGTCCATCTCAGCATCAGCAGGTTGACAGAAGTAGTTCGGATCGTCTCCTTGTAGGGGCTCACCAAAAGTTCCCAGCGTCATCTCAACATCACCGGATTGAATATTGAGTTTCAACACCTGGTGGGAGCCAACATCCGTAACCAGCAGATGTTTCTTGTCAGGAGTTACGCTTATTCCATGCGGTAACAGGAATTGGTTTTTCCCGAAAGATGAACCACATTCACCGGTTTCGACCTTGCATTTGAGAATCGTATCCGTGTTGATTTTGGTCTTGTTCTGGACATTAAAGTGGCGATCAAACGTGTTTATACCCCAAGCTCGATCGCCCCTGTGGAATACATATGTGAACTCCTCGTCCAGAACTGACACCCCTGAAGTCTGGCCGATTGCACCAGATTTCCACTTAAGTTGCCACAAACCATCTCGCTTTACTTCGGGTTCCGGGTTCGATCGAATGCTGTTCCACGCTGGGTTGTCAAGGAAACTCTCGGAACCTTTGGGTGGGCCTTCGACAAGAGACTTTTCGTTTTCATAAGCGAACTCGCTGAAAATTATTCCGACTGCTGGTACTTTGGCTATTTTTTCCGTGTAGTAAATAACTCGCAGCATTATTGCATCTGCATGCCAGATATTTGATCGGGCTGTTGACGAAGGATTGGTCAGCTCAGCGTTTTGACATAATTTGCTGATTTGTTGTGGAGTGTCGCAAGAACTAAACGAAAAGAATTTTAATGTGATTAGTGTTTTTTGCTTAAGGTCGTTGCCTTAAATCCTAGCTTAAAGGGAGCGGTGCTCATCGCTTAAGGGTGAGGCAACATTACCCATCCTAGAAATATAAACTGCATCTAGATCTTAAACAGGGGCACAACAGCGATTCTCCGTGAAGAGCTGAACAGCTCGTATGTTGGTCCTTTACCTCGTGGATAAATCGTCTAACGAACTGAACTAAGCTTTGAGGTAAGGATTCAATAACTGTAACTTGCGCAGCTCGTTAATTTGTTTCAGTAATGTTTAAAAAAAAAACATTTTTTAATTGAAATTAGCTAATGAACTGACACTAATTGGCTGCTTGCGATCTCACTGCACAAGAATACTTCAATTTCTTTGATGGTGTTTCCACCGTCTCCGTCCAAACTGGATTCTGCAACTGGATGCTCAACTACGTCATTGATCTGCACGGCTGCACTGACCGGGGTGGCTCTGCAGTACGCGAATTGAGATGGGTGGTCGTAGGATCCGTGGGTTTCAAATGAGGGAATCAGCAGCTGAAAAAATACCTTTTTGAAAGAACGAATTTTACAGAGTAAAAAAAGGAACGCAGCTAGAGAAATTAAAAGTTTTTTTAAAACACAAATTAAATTGGTTATTACTAAGTTAATTTTTGCCCGTAGATTGTGATGTAACTATTTGTTTTCTAAAAAAATCAAAAAAAAATTATGAATTAAAAAAAAACAGCTGAAATAAGTTAATTTTTTTAAAACTTCATTTGAAAAATTTATAGCAGTTTTGCAAAAAGTTTGAATCGCGCGAGAAAATATGATATGAAGTTGCATCTCTCAAAAACTGAAATGAATTTTTTTTGTTCTTACTGTTTTACTACTGATCGAAGTGTACACTAATGGTCAAAATTATATGTAAATTCAGGTTTTCAAACAAATGCTTAATTTTCATGAACGTTTTGAACAGCATTCAAACATAGCCAACAGGCAGTTTGTAGTAGAGTCAATGAACGCAAGTACAGAAAAAAAAACTGATTTGTTTTATGAAAAAAACTTCTTTCGAATTTCAAAGAAAAAAATAGGTGCCCTCAAAGCTCTTAGAGTTTCTAGAACAATTGATGATTGGCACTTTTTCGATAAAGTTGACACGATTTGATACAACTGCATCGATAGATTAATTGTTTTAATTCGCTGGGAAATCTGAAAATTAAATTTCATTTTCGAAACGAAGTCGAACACGTTTTTCGTGACTTTTTAACATTTTCTGTTCAATGGTGGAGTTTGCTCCCCTTTTAAAAAAGGAAATTAACTGAACTTCAATAAATTGAGAGTCAAACAGCGAAAACGTAAATTTGAGCCTGAACAAATTTTAAAACTTTTCCTGAAAAAAAGCGAAAAAAAAACTGCGACCTATATAAATGTCTGAGCTACTACGTTCATCGACCCCTAATCAGAGTTTCAACAAAATTTTTATAAAGAACATTTACAAATGATCTAAGCTACCTTCTCTGAAACTCTCAATTTTTAATTTGAAGCACTTCCCAGATTTCTTCTGCGTCTGTTGTTCCGACGCTGTGAAAATACACTAGTGGAAAAATTAGCTTAAGCTCAGGTTTTTCTCTAAAATGCTTGTTCTATGTCGCAATGTCTATTTTGGACAACATTTACTTCGTAATTCAGTTAAGGTTGACATTGACCGAGAGCAAATCATCAGAGCTACTGAGCTACTATCTATAAAACTATCAACATTCGGTTTCAAAGACGCACCAATGTAATCCGGGTCTGAAAATGCCAGTTATCTTCATCTGCACTTAGTTTAGTATCACAGTAATTTCTTTCTTGAATAAGCGGAGGAAAAATTTGTTCATGCGACGTGATATTTTCTCAGTGAGAAAATTGAAATAATCAGTGTGAGAACTTTAATACACTCGACTCTTTCTTTCTGTTTTCATACGGATTGAAAAACTTAGTGCAGATGCGGAAAATTTGAATTTTTAGGCCTGGATTAAGTTAGGAAGGCTCTGAAACCAAACTTTGCTTTTGATCTATTCAAAAATTTAGCTCAATTTGAAGTAAATTTTGTCCAAAATGGACTTATTAAAAACAATCATTTTATAAAATAAAAACCTGAATTTGCACTTGGTTTTGTCCCTATAGCGTATAGGAGACAACAGAACAACGCAATTTTCCAAAAACACTGAACAACGCATTTTTCTTCTTCAAATAATTTTACGTTGCATGATCAAATTTTTCTACTCAGCTTATTCAAAAAAGTATTCACTCCCCTAGAAAACTCAATACAAACTATGAAACTGGCATTTTCAGACCCGGAAAAAGCTGAAAAAAAGCATCAAATTAATTATTGAGACTTTCAGAAAGGATAGTTTAGATCATTTGCAATCGGTCACTGTACAACTTTTGGATAAATTCTAATCAAGTGTAGTCGAAAATAGTCCTTGAGGTTAGGCTTTTTAGAAAGTAAAATAGTAATTTTGCGTTTCATTTCGTCCACTAGTGTACAAAACTTGTTCTTTTGAACAAAAGGGTCTCAGTTTTAGTCAGTCAAAATGTTTCTCTAACGTGTTATTTTCACACAAAGATTGAAAAGACTTTATAGTTACAGGATTCCATTGTAAAGTTTTCCGAGTTTTTAAAATTATTTGGTTGCATTATTTTTTTCTCCAGTAAAGTAGAAAAAATTTAAGCCTCCAGCTCATGTGTAATGAAAGCAAAGCAACTATTTCTTCAGCTGAACATTTTCTGTAAAGTTATCAAGTTTCTTGCAGTTGGCCAAGCTGTGCTCCAAGTAAATATTAAAAACAAATCTGAGAAGATTTCCCAAATTTTTGAAGTCCGACTAAATTTATGCCATTGATATTTGTGTTTTCCTCTTTTGAATGTTCATGAAAGTCAATTTTGCACCGCATTCCTGAAATGATTTCCAAAATGTTGATTAAATTAAACGGACCTGTTGCGTATAAAAACGAGGAAGTTTGTGTGCCGAATTGAAAAATAAGAAACCTTTAGTGCAGAAAAGTATGAAACTGATAAAAGCGCTCACAGTAATCGCAAGATTTACGGAAGTCAACATGGTTACTTGAGAAGTTAGCCCAAGAAGTCAATGTTTGTTTCATCATGAGCATAATCTGCTGGCTTTCGAGTCATACGGTTCTCGATTTTTCAACATGCTTTTTTGACAGGCAGTTACGATCTTCTTAATCAAAGTAACCGTCAAAAGTCGATGACTCGAAATTATTCAAAAAGCATAGCTATCGAAGGGCATATTGGCATCGACGGTGATGCTAGTATGAATAAATAGTCAACCTGGTTAATTTTACATGTTGCAAGCAACATTTATAATTGCGAGGGTGTTTAAAAACATTGAAAGCTCAACTTTCAACCAAAAACACTAAAAATTAGGACACGAGAGAACTTTGCGTTCAATGAAAATTTTTTTAGTTACATGACCGACCGGAAATTTTGAAATGAAATCAAGCGCAGAAAACATTTAATCGATTCTATGCTGTTCCAACCATGGCTGGGATTGCTAAATCTCAGTCCGACTCCAACTTAGAATGCTTAATTTTGCATGACAGGAAAACGTTTACCGCAGTTATAGCGCCATGCAATTTAAAACTATACTTTTTGAGTTAGTCTCTTTCTTGACCTCAAAAAAATCTCGCGTTTTTAACAAAAAAAAACATTTTTTTTTGGGCTGGAGACTGTTTGGTTACTAGAGACAGTTTGCTATGTTTTTAATTGAAAGTCATTTAAACTACAAAGTCATTGCAAATTAAATTTCAATATAATTTGGAACTTATTCACTTTCAATCTAATTAATTTGCAAAATATGCAAAGCTCTATTTTTCTTCTGTTCGCCAAATTGGTTTGAGCAGTGCGTTAGCTCAAAACGATTTTCTATGCACGCAATAGTTAAAAGGAAAAGGAAAAATTGTCATGTAAAAAAGATGATTCTTGATGGGCCAAGATGTCATTTTGGAATACTGCTTTTTCAGAAAGAGGCGGTTGAGACTTTGACCTATAAACCTCTGTGCTCTAGATACATCTATATGAACTTTCATGTTAAATCTATCCAGTAGCGTGCCGAGGGGGCGGGCAACGGCACCCCCCCTGCATTCTGGTTGCCAATTTTTTCCAAAAAGTCCCCCTGCATTCTGGTTGCCAATTTTTTCCAAAAAGTCCCCCTTTGGTATAATTTCCGACATCCATTTTTGGCTGACCAACCTCAAAGTTTTTCTAAAAGTGCTATGGGCGCCAATATAAATAATTTTGCAGGGTGATCGCGCGCAAAAAAATCGCATTTTTTTTTCAAAATTTTCCAAAAAGTGCTTTTAAAATGCCTTTTTTGGCCTGTTTCTTGAAAAAATTTGCCTTCGGCGCAGAAAATTTCTGACAAAATAAGTATTCTTGGAGAGATCGAAAAATCAAATGGATCGACCCACAAAAAAAGGCCCGGGAAATTTTCAAAAAATTTTAATTTGCATTTGTTTTAATTTGCCCCCCCCCCCCTACAAAAATTTATGCGCACGCCACTGACCCTATCTGTCGAGTTTGAATGATAGTAACATACGCAAACATAATTAACTATAAAAAAACCTTATGAAAAAGCAACGTCAAATTCGAGGGTTTAGTTGTAACCGACAGGACCTCGGTACAAGTATGAAAGATGGGTCCCACAATTGTTGTGAAAAAGTATTCCTAAATTTTAAAAGGCTAAAACACTTTTCTTTGAGTATCAAACGCAATTACGGAGCCCAATAATCATACTCAAGCCAAGATTTTTTGATCAGATCATGTGCTCACCTCTTTCATCACTTGCTCTGACCCATAATATTCGAACTCAGAAACATGGTAAGCTGACGCCGAAAATAAACAGTTGGAAACCAGGACAAAATACAGACAAATTTTATAAGCTGCCATTTAAATTGGACCAATTTACAATTTGTGGGAATATTCAATTTGTGGGTATTTTTGAATAATCAAATTTTTCAGTGGGTTATTAAATTTCTACTTGGTTCCAATTGTGCGCGCCAGGAAGTTCAAATTAAGTTAAGCTTGTAGTGGACCGTTGGCTGTCTTGTAGCTTAGTTGTCACCCATTTGTGAGAGATTTTCTTTCTTCCTCAGTAGGCGAAATGGCTTTGAGGTAACTTTTTTTGCGGGTGCAATCAAAGTTGTATGTTTATATGTATACACACACACACAAAGACAGTAGGACGCAATCAAACAGCGAAAAGGATAAAAAAAAATTGTGTGTTGTAAAAACACAAGGCGGCCTAGCGCATTAGTGGCACATCAAAACTAGAACACACATACACTGACATACACCACGTGCAAGTCAAAAATGGGGAATTGAAAACCACTACGTAAGAGTAAAACAGCAACGCGAATAAAAATATATATAATACAAGGAAAAAAATGCACGCAGTTAGAAAAACAAAGCGCCCATTAATAGCCTCCGTTTTTTGGTGGTAAGCCGTGGTAATTTGATTCTAATTAATTTTTACTATTTGCTGCTGAGCTTAAAACAATAATTGAAACGAGGGAAAAGATACAATTATAGTACGTTTCAACAAAACAGGCATAAAATAACGTCACGAGTCGAATTTATGGCAAATGAGGTCATGAATTGAAGTTTGTGGCTATTTGAATGAAGCAAAATGAAACCATTTAGTAATTATGAATTAAATAAAAAAGATTTTATTTTGATTCATCTCAAATATCAAGAAATAAAAAGTAAACCTCAATTTTAAAAATTCCAGCTATGCAGTCAAAACATTCAGAAGATATCACAAGAACTAATTATTTTTCCATAGCTTTTCAAGACTTTTTGAGAGGACTCGAAAAAAATTGACAGATAATTTGATGCTGAGCATTTCATCTGCCGCGCAGGTAAACTATAATAAAATTGCAAAACTCTTTCCCAAATAAACCAAGCAACTCAGTCAGATGCATTTTAAACTAATTTATATTAAGAAATTTCTGGGCTCAAGGTTCACAAAAGCTATAAATTGAGTGTAGATCTTGCATTCTTCAATTTTATCTAGTTGAGAATTTTCATAGAATAGTGCAGCGCAGATATGATGGTTTAAATAAATCTTCAGTAGAAAGAAACAAATAATGTTTAACAACGCATAAATCTGGTTATGAGCTCTAAAAACAAATGTCTACTCTAGCGTATCAAATGAGTATTTTAACTGAAACTTAAAAAATATGCATCAAGTGGCCTAAATTTTTTGATGGAATAAAAACGGAAGAACAAAAGTTACGCTTATGCTCATGAAAATAAGCTTTCTATTCCTTTAGGACACTATGTTCCGCCCAAGTGAGCCTGGTCTGGGGTTGATTCTTACCCATATTGTTCCATATGGGGTCCCAATGTCATTCGCCTCCTCGAGGTGGTGCTGGCTGCGGTAAAATGGATGACATCTCTCCCCCACGGAAGAAAGGCCCATGGTAAGATTGTGGGAGCTGGGCCGGGGGCTCAAAAAAGCATTGATTTTTGTTCATATTGTTCCATATAATTCAATGTTCTATGCGTTTATATTTGATAGATGTTTGTATAATTGGCAAGAAGTTTTAAACAGTCCTGATGTTCTTAAAGTGATATCGAGTCTAAAACGGGCGAAGTCGTGTATGTCACGACTACCTTTGAGAAATTTGGGCTCAAAGTTTTTGAATAATTCAATCAATACAATGTATTTTAGAGGTTATAACAACAAATAATCCCAGCCAAAAAAATGTATTAACGAGGTCAAGTTAGCTTAAAAACAGCGGCAGCAGATTGGTACCACGAACCAGACAACTAATTAGAACCAAAAATAACAGCTACTCCTAGGGTGAAAAAGAACATACAATCATCTGAAATTAAACTGATTACATGGGCTTGAAAAAATACAAAAATAAGCCCTACGCAACATTTCCCCTTTTAAAAATATTGAATCTTAGTTCGGAATTTTTACTACCAGAAAGTTTTGTTTTGGACAACACTACAGCCGATCCGTGGCTGGTGATAGTTTAACAAACTTTGAAAACTAGATTTTTGAGCCGGTTTTTTGTTGCTTTCTCTTTTTTGGATATTTTACTAGCCCCTCCTTATCTTCTATAATCCCAATTTTTGGAGCGCAGTCCTTTTTCTTGAGCTTCGCCACGACCAAGTCTCGATCTGACTTCCGGAATCTTGACATGAGACCAATATTTGTTTTCTTTGCCGCCACGTTTTTTCGCCCTTGCTCTTTCGGAGGTCCAGTCTGGTCTAGTTCTGCGTCCGCCCATTTCCCGCCCCAGTTTTGCTCTTCCGGGTTTTCAATCGCTTTTTGATTCAATGGCTCGCAGCGACCCACTGGATGCTCACTATCTTACGTTTGCAGCGCCAATCTGCGCTTGCTTTGCCCCGTTTTCTAGCTTTAGCTCGACCGACATGAAAAAAAAACAAGCCTGACTTACCAATCAGCATAACTTTGTTTTTGTTTCTCGAATTTTGCACTTCAGGATTCACAATTTTATTGTTTTAGTTTCAATTGAAAATTTCTAAAAAAACTTGCAATTGTTTGGGGCCCCGATTCAATAATTTCCAAACATGTCGTAATTAAGATCTTATTTTTCTTTCTTCTTCTACAGACGAACTTAGAAAACGAACCATCTCATATCTTTCAATGAAGTTCAATTTAAGCACTTTAATCCAAAATTAAACATTACTTTTCTGCATTCTTCGATGGTTCAAACTGTTCATAGCACAATGTTTAACGGTTATCTTGCTAAATTTGTGATTATCTTACTGTCATCAATTCAATCAGGTATTTGCTGCTATCTATCTTTCATAGGGTCGAAAAATTATAAAGACGCAAAATTCTTGATGCTGCAAAATTTTCAAAACTACATACAATCTCTGCACACAAAGGCAGGATCTATGATAGTTCGAGTGATGGAAGGGTTTTGAAAAGTTTTTTAAATTTTTCTCAAATATTTGTTAAGCTTGTGAATAATTTGGCTTTCCGAGCTCCCTCAAAGCAATATTGACAACCTATTTGCAAAATTTCTGCGCCATAAGCAATTGTTAAAAACAGCCCAAACATTTTGTTTTTCGGTACTTTTTGGGAAATTTTGACAAAAAAATTCTTTGGCGCGCGCTCCCCGTCAAAAATGGTAAGCATTGGCAACAAAGATGCCTATAGAAAAATTTCAAAGTTTCTAGGCGCCCCAACTCCCCAATTTCGGCGTCAGACTAAATACGCCCCTGAGGGTTTGACAACATTCGTTGGTAAACATCTGATTTTTTTTCAAAACAATGGAACTAAAAATTTTAAAACTAATATTTATACAATGACCACAAAGGTAAAAAAGAACCAAACACTAGTAGAAGTGTTTGGCTAGGCAAAGTCAATCAAAAGATTTTTGATCAAATTTAAAAAAAAATAACTATTTTTAAACTTTTTTGACTTTTTAAAATCATGACCTTTTATGTTCAAAAACGCTATGTAAAGTACAAATTGAAATATTTCTCCAATGGTAGTGTGTAAAAAATAGCCAAGTGCTTGCTTCAGTCCCATTTAGAATGAATTAAATTGCATTTTTTTTCTAGCTTGACAGTATAAAAATTCTATCAAAATTTACCAGAAAAAAGTCGAAATTTGTCTGGAAAAAAGTTACGCTAAGTAAAAACAATCAGCCTGAAAATCAGAGAGAAAACGACGATTGCTAAAAAAAATCATCCAGCAATTTGACCAATGGCATATTTAGGGGGCGGGCGGGCATTATGCCCCCTTCTCAGGGATTCGACCCCCTCACCAACCAAAGGGTCCCGCTTTTGGTATGATTTTTCGATTTTGTTTTCGAACCACCAACCCTAAAAAATTGTTGGTGGCGCCTTTGGCGCCTATATATTCTAATTTTGAAGGGAGCGCGCGCCTATAACGCAATTTTTCGGTCAAAATTTTCCAAAAATTGCCCAAAGACGGCCTTTTGTCCGTTTTTTTTTTCAATTTTTTTTTGTTTAATTAGCGCTCGTATAGTAACTTAGGAGCGCCCGGAAAAATTAACATTACGAGGCCAAACTGTGCACTGGATAGGTGCAATTTTTGATGCCTGTAGTTTCTGGAATCCTAGAATAAAACTAGTTGGAATCTAGAACAAAATTTCAACAGCTTCAATTTTTGTGTTCAATTCTTACTTTCATCAATTCAATGATCAGGTATTTTAATAGAATTTTTCATTTCAAAATGATTATGGAGTGAAAAAATTGCAAACTTTAGCGAAAGACGCAAAATGTTGCTTCATTGTCAAAACTAAAAAGTAATTGATCTCAACACAAGAGCGAGGAAATCTCGAAAGAGAGGCAAATTTATTGAAACTTTGTCAACTTCCATAACCATAAAATCAAATTGATTTTTTGACCTTTCTCAGAATAAAAAAAAACCTGCTTTGCCAAATTTTCTGCGCTAGAGATGATGTAAAAAAAATTGAGGTCGAAGCTACCGTTAGTTTGTCATGTTTTGGCACTGTCTTCAAAAATAGTAAAAATTGGTGCCAAAATTGCAGAAAAGTTTCCACTCATAGAGAAACTGCTCTTAGGAAAGTTTAAAACCAATGAAAAAGAGCAGATACTTCTCTTTTTTTGTTCTTGCTATGGTCTAAACAGCAGTATATTTGCTGCTAATTTTCTAGGAAGTAAACGCAATGATGTTTTCAACAACTATTGACGGTAAGTGTAGAAGGTAAGTGAGTCGAGCTCTGAAGAAAGCCCAGCCCAATTTTAAACTTTTGCTAAAATCAATAGTCCAGATTCATAAACACAACTGTTTTAAACCAAATAAAGCAAGCATTGGAAGACATTTAGCATAAATAAATTATTAACTCGATTTTTTTTATTTTTCGAATAAAAAAAGACTAAAACAAATGGACTTAGTACACATGAACTTAGTAACTAGCGAAATCCAAATCTAAGTACACATGAACTAAGTAACTAACGAAATCCAAATCTTAAGTACATAGATAACTTAACAACAAATTTGGAAAATTTTAAAACTGATCATGTTCAGCATGTTTTGTCATCTCTTCTGCTCTCTACCAAGTCTATTTCAGGCAGTCATTTGAAAAAAAAAACTAAATTATCAGCAAAAAAATATATATTCGTTTCAAAAATTTTTTTAGGCATTGCGACTAAACTGAACAAAAAACAATTGGTTGATGTGCAACTAGCGCACAAGATTTTGACTACATTAAAAATGTATATAATTTCTTTTTTTTTCTGACCAAATTGAATCGTTTTTGACCTCTGAGTGATGAGTAGATCTGAAAAGTGTCGCAAATCTTTATAAACATTGTGCCGATAAAAAAAAATTGAAAAAAAAGGAAAACAATTTTTTTAAAACCCATTAAAACATGCTTAAATATAAAAAATTATTTAGAAGAAGCAAAATTAATTTTTTGCGGCCTTAATTAAAACGTATCTTCCTATTATATGTCTGCTCGGTCGGTTTGTAGCTCAAATTTGGACTCTAAGTCAAAATATTTCTTTCAAATCGGTTCTTCGCGACACAAAGTGATGTTTTAATTTTTTTGTATTTTCAATCACGACTGCAAGTGCTTCAATTTATATCATTTGACCCATTCCAATGATTATTTTTTGTACCTGATTTTTCGCGGAAAATAAAAAAAATGCGTGTTTTCACGTTGTTTTCTGTGGAAAATTCTGTGCTGAAAAGTTGTCACAATTAGCAAACTTTTATAGCACATTTACTAAAAACTGCTCGTGTCAGGGCAAAATTTGTAAGACTGCTTTTTAAGGTCTATGGGTAAGTATTGTGTTTGCTTTTGAAAAAAAATGATGAAGTTTCCAAAAAAAAACATGTTCATTACTTTTCGAAAACCATCACTTCACATGCTATGTAAATTACAAAGTGATATAATTTGCGTATAGCACAGTTTTAAATAGACTAAATAGCTACCTCCATTCAATTTGGATTTGGTTCTTAGACGGATTAAATCTCCGCTTACGAGTTTATAGCACAAAACAAATCTCGCGGTAATTGTCTCAAAATAATGGGACAATCTTTAAATTCCAGACTTAACAAAAAACGACCATGACAGGTTTAAAATTTTTTTAAAAAAATTATTTCTGGACTATCGATTTGGAAGATAACAAAAAAATCCAATAAGAATTTCTATTTGAAAAGCCGAAATTTGTCTGGTGAAAAAAACACCCCGAATACAATTATTCAGTTAGTTTTCTTCAAAAATCGGAACAAAACCAAAGATGGCAGAAACGCTAAAATGACTACTTTTTGCTAAATTGACTACTTTAAACCTCAACGTAAAACAACCGCACATAAAGTGTTTATACCTTTGGGTTCACCGCGTTGAAATCTTTAAAGTGAAGAATTGATTGCTCTACTTGCTTGTCAAGAAATGCCAGCATGTCAATTTTTTACCATGTGTTTTTTTAGCTCAGTCGCAGATAGTGTTGAACACGTGGTCCTTCGGAGCCAAGTCGAATGAAGTGGCATGGAATACTCTGGCAGAGACTGGAAGTCCCTTGGACGCTGTGGAACTGGGCTGCAATGTGTGCGAGGAAAAGAAGGACCCTAGTGTACTTTAACCCAAACTTCATTTTTTCAACACAACAAAAATGATTATTAGCAAATAACTGGCTTTTGCCTCTGGTTTAGAAAACTAATATTTGTGATGAAAGTTCGGATCTCTGATAGCGGCCAAATTTCAAAAATTTTTAATCGTTTTTCTTTTTGTGTTTTCTGATTGGTGAAAGTTTTTGGTTTGAAATCAATCAGATAAAACTACCGTATAAAACAGGGTGTTCGTTTGATCGCGATAGAGTCAATTTTAGAGAAATTTTTCGTAGCAAAAGTCCCCAAACCCACCAACATAAATGTAAGTGACAAAAACACGGTTGCTTGCATCTCTTAATTGTCTCTGCTATTCATGTTTCATATAAGTCATATAGTGAATGATGTTTTTCAGGACTGTGACGGTAGTGTGGGGTGGGGGTCCCATCCGGACGAGGCAGGAGAGACCACTCTGGACGCCATGGTGTTCGATGGCACAAATGTTAGACACAATTATCTATTTTCAAAATCTATTCTTTCGTTTTTCTCGACTTTCTTGCACATCCATTTTCAGTAAAAGCTACTTTTTATTTAGCTCTGCATCGATTTATCAAGCATTTTCCTTTTGAATGAAAACAAGTTTAAATCATTTGGGTTTCAAAATAAAACATCTGAGCTGGTATATCATTTTATTGCATAAAACAATTTTTTAAAGCATGGTTCATTTTCAAACCTACATTTTTCTCAAGATACAAACGGGAGCAGTGGCCAATCTGAAGAGCATCAAAAAGGCAGTCTCGGTAGCTCGTTACGTCATGAACTCGACTCAGCACTCGCTCCTCGTCGGCCAATCAGCGACCGACTTCGGACAGCAGATGGGATTTACCCTCGAGAGTCTCTCGTCTTCGGTTTCCAAGTCGGATTACACCCAGTGGAAGGATAATAGTTGCCAGCCGAACTACTGGAGGAAGGTGGTTCCAGATCCGATTCATAGCTGTGGGCCTTACCAACCGGCGTCACCGTCTCACTACGTTGCTAAAAGTTAGTGGTTTTCTCCTTTCCAATAATGAAATCATCAAACAAATGAGTAGAAAGAGAATTTAGAGATAAAATTTAATTCTCTCTAAGTAAAATGTTGACTAGCTTCTTTTCTGCAAATTAAAGTGTTCCTATCTGTTTTTTTTTTTCAAATCAAAGTTAGAAATGATGGTTTTTTAAAATTGTGCAGAAAAAGGGATGAAAGAGTACCGTTTTCCGCGTAACTAGGTTCGGAACTGTCTGCAGGCATTCTGCAATAGCCAACTCAACGTCTTTTCTCAAAAATTCTGGACATCGACAAAAGTGCGCGAAATCAAATTTCATTATGATGCCATTATTCGGTTTAGTTTTGGTAATTTTTTGAGGAAAAAAAGTAAATTGTTTGCAAAACAAGTAAATGCACCAAGTTTACGCTGCAATACTGAAAACAATTAAGCTTAAAATTTATCTTCAACAGAATCTCAAAACATGGAGAGAGAAGATAAAGACCACGACACTATCGGGATCATAGCAGTCAACAAAAATGGCAACACAGCTGTCGGACTCACGACTAACGGGGCCGACCACAAAATCAGCGGCCGAGTAGGTGACTCGCCCTTAGTCGGAGCGGGAGGCTACGCAAGTGACGACGGAGGAGCTGCAGTCCAAACTGGAGACGGAGATGTCATGCTGCGATTCTTGCCGACGTTCCAGGTATAAAAGACATGCTAAGAGTTTCAGTTGAGCTCTTTTTTTAAGCTTTTTCAGCTTTAAAAACTAATCCTATAAATTATTGATCAAAAATCCTGTGGCTCCACATTTTTAAAATCTTTTTATTAACGTTAAAAATGCGCTGAAATAAGCTCATTCCTCAAAAAAAACTTGTTCTTTACTTTTGTTCATATTCTCGTTCCTATTCAAAAAAGTTGGTCTTATTCATTATTCTACATTTTTATCACTAGTGTCGTTCTCGTGATCTTTTTTCCTCCGAGAGCCACTTTTTAAAAAAATGAAGCCATCATTTTTTGTGAGCGCACACGTGAAAATTTTCAAAAGTGTTTTTTTTTCTGCTGATTCCAGGTGGTGCAATTGATGAAACAAGGAGTATCTCCTCTGAACGCCACTAGAACTGCATTGATGGACATTTACAAGTTCAACCCCGACTTCAGCGGGGCTATTGTAGCTGTGAACACGAAACTGGAATATGCGGCTGCTTGTGTCGGGTTTTCCCAGTTCGAGTACTGTGTTAACACTGGGAACGGAACTGTTATTATAACCATGGGCTGCAGCGCCCAAGATTTATTTTCATAGAAAGTAATTGTATTTTCATATGAAAAACTCGTACACAAAAAGAGCTTTTGAATAAAACCTGCTGTTTTGAAGCTTCTATGTTAATCGAGTCCTCGCCAAAAGTATCATACCGGGTTGAAACTTGAAACTTGAATTCTTGAATAAGTACATTTAACAACAGCAGTCATGAATTATACTAACAGGGGCTCAACTCATGGTCCGTAAGGCCCCTCCTGGTCCGCCCCATAAAAATACCTATTAAAATTGGGTTGAAGAGAAAAATAAGAAGATAAAAAGAAAAGAACCTGTCATAGATGAAAACCTCTGGATCAGCGATTTTTCAGAAATCTAACATCGCTGTAGATTTTGTCCCTGATCAGTGGCCCCTTTTGCCTGACCAGACAAAATTCAACACCACTGCAATCTGAGGAGTATTGTACAGTAATTTTTCAGAGCTTTGCTTATATTGGTCCATACCAGGTTCGAGGTTGTGGTTTTAATTTCAGAACACTGTGACCATACTTGGGTATATATTCGTTTCAAAAATTTTTTTAGGCATTGCGACTAAACTGAACAAAAAACAATTGGTTGATGTGCAACTAGCGCACAAGATTTTGACTACATTAAAAATGTATATAATTTCTTTTTTTTTCTGACCAAATTGAATCGTTTTTGACCTCTGAGTGATGAGTAGATCTGAAAAGTGTCGCAAATCTTTATAAACATTGTGCCGATAAAAAAGGAAAAAAATTTTTTTAAAACCCATTAAAACATGCTTAAATATAAAAAATTATTTAGAAGAAGCAAAATTAATTTTTTGCGGCCTTAATTAAAACGTATCTTCCTATTATATGTCTGCTCGGTCGGTTTGTAGCTCAAATTTGGACTCTAAGTCAAAATATTTCTTTCAAATCGGTTCTTCGCGACACAAAGTGATGTTTTAATTTTTTTGTCTTTTCAATCACGACTGCAAGTGCTTCAATTTATATCATTTGACCCATTCCAATGATTATTTTTTGTACCTGATTTTTCGCGGAAAATAAAAAAATGCGTGTTTTCACGTTGTTTTCTGTGGAAAATTCTGTGCTGAAAAGTTGTCACAATTAGCAAACTTTTATAGCACATTTACTAAAAACTGCTCGTGTCAGGGCAAAATTTGTAAGACTGCTTTTTAAGGTCTATGGGTAAGTATTGTGTTTGCTTTTGAAAAAAAATGATGAAGTTTCCAAAAAAAAACATGTTCATTACTTTTCGAAAACCATCACTTCACATGCTATGTAAATTACAAAGCGATATAATTTGCGTATAGCACAGTTTTAAATAGACTAAATAGCTACCTCCATTCAATTTGGATTTGGTTCTTAGACGGATTAAATCTCCGCTTACGAGTTTATAGCACAAAACAAATCTCGCGGTAATTGTCTCAAAATAATGGGACAATCTTTAAATTCCAGACTTAACAAAAAACGACCATGACAGGTTTAAAATTTTTTAAAAAAAATTATTTCTGGACTATCGATTTGGAAGATAACAAAAAAATCCAATAAGAATTTCTATTTGAAAAGCCGAAATTTGTCTGGTGAAAAAAACACCCCGAATACAATTATTCAGTTAGTTTTCTTCAAAAATCGGAACAAAACCAAAGATGGCAGAAACGCTAAAATGACTACTTTTTGCTAAATTGACTACTTTAAACCTCAACGTAAAACAACCGCACATAAAGTGTTTATACCTTTGGGTTCACCGCGTTGAAATCTTTAAAGTGATAACTTGAGAATCAAATTTTTTTATGGAGTTTTTGCGTAGTTTTCTCTAATAGTGAAGAATTGATTGCTCTACTTGCTTGTCAAGAATTGCCAGCATGTCAATTTTTTACCATGTGTTTTTTTAGCTCAGTCGCAGATAGTGTTGAACACGTGGTCCTTCGGAGCCAAGTCGAATGAAGTGGCATGGAATACTCTGGCAGAGACTGGAAGTCCCTTGGACGCTGTGGAACTGGGCTGCAATGTGTGCGAGGAAAAGAAGGACCCTAGTGTACTTTAACCCAAACTTCATTTTTTCAACACAACAAAAATGATTATTAGCAAATAACTGGCTTTTGCCTCTGGTTTAGAAAACTAATATTTGTGATGAAAGTTCGGATCTCTGATAGCGGCCAAATTTCAAAAATTTTTAATCGTTTTTTTTCTGTGTTTTCTGATTGATGAAAGTTTTTGGTTTGAAATCAATCAGAAAAAAACTACCGCATTAAACAAGGTGTTCATTTGATCGCGATAGAGTCAATTTTTTTTAGAAATTTTTTGTAGCAAAAGTCCCCAAACCCACCAGCATAAATGTAAGTGACAAAAACACGGTTGTTTGCATCTCTTAATTGTCTCTGCTATTCATGTTTCATATAAGTTATATAGAAAATGATGTTTTTCAGGACTGTGACGGTAGTGTGGGTTGGGGGTCCCATCCGGACGAGGCAGGAGAGACCACTCTGGACGCCATGGTGTTCGATGGCACAAATGTTAGACACAATTATCTATTTTCAAAATCTATTCTTTCGTTTTTCTCGACTTTCTTGCACATCCATTTTCAGTAAAAGCTACTTTTTATTTAGCTCTGCATCGATTTATCAAGCATTTTCCTTTTGAATGAAAACAAGTTTAAATCATTTGGGTTTCAAAATAAAACATCTGAGCTGGTTTATCATTTTATTGCATAACACAATTTTTTAAAGCATGGTTCATTTTCAAACCTACTTTTTTCTCAAGATGCAAACGGGAGCAGTGGCCAATCTGAAGAGGATCAAAAAAGCAGTCTCGGTAGCTCGTTACGTCATGAACTCGACTCAGCACTCGCTCCTCGTCGGCCAATCAGCGACCGACTTCGGACAACAGATGGGATTTACCCTCGAGAGTCTCTCGTCTTCGGTTTCCAAGTCGGATTACACCCAGTGGAAGGATAATAAATGCCAGCCGAACTACTGGAGGAATGTGGTTCCAGATCCGATTCATAGTTGTGGGCCTTACCAACCGGCGTCACCCTCTCATTATCTTGCTAAAAGTTAGTGGTTTTCTCCTTTCCAATAATGAAATCATCAAACGAATGAACGAATGAGTAAAAAAAGAATTTAGAGATAAAGTTTAATTCCGTCATAGGTAAAATGTTGACTAGCTTCTTTTCTGCAAATTAAAGTGTTCCTATCTGTTTTCAAATCAAAGTTAGAAATGATGGTTTTTTAAAATTGTGCAGAAAAAGGGATGAAAGAGTACCGTTTCCCGCGTACCTAGGTTCGGAGCTGTCTGCAGGCATTCTGCAATAGCCAACTCAACGTCTTTTCTCAAAAATTCTGGACATCGACAATAGTGCGCGAAATACACGGGTAAAAATTTCATTATGATGCCATTGTTCGGTTTAGTTTTGGTAATTTTTTGAGGAAAAAAAGTAAATTGTTTGCAAAACAAGTAAATGCACCAAGTTTACGCTGCAATACTGACTACAATTAAGCTTAAGATTTATCTTCAACAGAATCTCAAAACATGGAGAGAGAAGATAAAGACCACGACACTATCGGGATCATAGCAGTCAACAAAAATGGCAACACAGCTGTCGGACTCACGACTAACGGGGCCGACCACAAAATCAGCGGCCGAGTAGGTGACTCGCCCTTAGTCGGAGCGGGAGGCTACGCAAGTGACGACGGAGGAGCTGCAGTCCAAACTGGAGACGGAGATGTCATGCTGCGATTCTTGCCGACGTTCCAGGTATAAAAGACAGGCTAAGAGTTTCAGTTAAGCTCTTTCTTTTTGAGCTTTTTCAGCTGTAAAAACGAATCCCATGAATTATTGATCATAAATCCTGTGGCTCCAAAGTTTTGATTTAATAACGTTAAAAATGCGCTCAAATAAGCTCATTCCTCAGAAAAACTTGTTCTTGTTCATCATTTTGTTCATTTTTTTGTTGCTATTCAAAAAAGTTATTCTTATTCATTGTTCTAACCAAAATATATTTGTATCCTTAGTGTCGTTCTCGCGATCTTTTTTCTCCGAGAGCCACTTTAAAAAAATGAAGTCATCATTTTTTGTGAGTGCACTCGTGAAAACTTTCAAAAGTGTTTTTGTTCATCCTGATTCCAGGTGGTGCAATTGATGAAACAAGGAGTATCTCCTCTGAACGCCACTAGAACTGCATTGATGGACATTTACAAGTTCAACCCCGACTTCAGTGGGGCTATTGTAGCTGTGAACACGAAACTGGAATATGCGGCTGCTTGTGTCGGGTTTTCCCAGTTCGAGTACTGTGTTAACACTGGGAACGGAACTGTTATTATAACCATGGGCTGCAGCGCCCAAGATTTATTTTCATAGAAAGTAATTCTATTTTCATATGAAAAACTCGTACACAAAAAGAGCTTTTCAATAAAACCTGCTGTTTTAAAGCTTTTATGTTTGATCTTGGTCGATTCGTCACCAAAAGTATCATTCCGGGTTGAAACTTGAAACTTGAATTCTTGAATAAGTACATTTAACAACAGCAGTCATGAATTATACTTACAGGGGCTCAACTCACGGGCCATAAGGCCCCTCCAAGTTCCGCCCCATAAAAAGACCTATACAAACTGGATTGAATATCTCTGGATCAGCGATTTTTCAGAATCTAATATCGCTGATTCTGTCCCTGATCAGTGGAGTATTGTACAGTAATTTTTCAGAGCTTTGCTTATATTGGTCCACTCCACACCATAGTCGAGGTTGTGGTTTTATTTTCAGAAAATTCTGACCAAATTTGGATATTTCCAGACCGCCGCGGTCAAATTTTAGTAATTCGAGACTATGAGTTATAAGAAAAATTATCCTAAGAAAATTTATCCAACGACGCAACCTTCATGACTGAAAAAACTTTGACCAGGACAGTCGCGACCGAAGCAAAAGCATCCACGACCGATTCGTCCATTCGAAATTTTGTGGAGATGTTGGCTAGGTCGGTTAGGATAAGAAATAATTTTGACTCTATGTGACAGTCAGGGGCGGATTTAGGAGGGAGCGGGGGCGGATGCCCCCTTCTCAGGGATTTAGCCCTACCAACCCAAAGGGTCCCCACTTTGTACTATTTTGAGATGTCCATATTTGACGACGGACCCTAAAAATTTTCTAAAGGCGCCTTTGGCGCCAATATTAACTAATTTTGAGCTCCCCCTCAAAATTAGAACATATATGCGCCAAGGGCGCCTATAGAACTTTTTTTTTGGTCAAAATTTTCCAAAAAGTGCATAAAAACGCTTTTTTGGCCTGTTTTTCAAACTTTTGCCGGCGGCGCACAAATTTGGCCAAACCAGGGTCTTTATAGTACTTTGAGAAAGCTCGGAGAATCAAATTGGTCGACCTAAAAAAAAGGTCAACAAACAAAATTTTTTTTAAAAAATCCGCCCCACCCCCTCGAGAAAATCCATGATCCGCCCCTGGTGACAGTTAAATTTGGGTAAATTACACAAAAATTCGAGCTGAGAAGAACCTAGTGAATTACTTGAAAAAAAATTACACAAACAAAAATATCTAAAAGTTATAACACTAAAAATTGCTTGTTCAAAAAGTAAATTTGAGCTCGACAGTTTTTAGTACCCTCATTTCTCATGTATACCGACGTATTATTTGGAAAACATTAGAGTAAAATCTGTGACAAATATGAAAACACAAACTCAATGAATGGCTTAAAAGATAAACAAGTATTAAACTTCAAGTAAACGAAGATTAAAAGAAAACAAAACATGAGCCACCGGTATTTGATCTTGGAAATGTTTTTGGTGTTTGACGTTCAATTCAAAAGTCAGAAATCACGGTAGAAACTCTTTAAAAAATAAATCAAAATATTTACTTTGGTATCAGTAGTGTTTTAGCTTTTAAGATTCTGTTCCAGAAAATCGCATTTTCGCCGGGTTCTATAAAGAATGCCTAGCCACGTTGTTTTAAGTTTCATCGACATGCAAATTTCGTTCTGTTCGTTTAAGGGAATGATACAAGTCGTCGCAAGAACAATACGAGGAAAATTGTCTTAAAAAATAATTATTCCGACAATTTGAAAAATAAGGAGGAACTTTGCATTCAGGTGTGTTTTCGTTTTTTCTTTTTTTCTTTTTGTTTTCCAAGCAAAATGAAGTACCTCACATAGTAATTGGAATGGGTCCAATTCTATATCAAATTAAAGCCCTTTGCATTGTGATACGAATGACTTACATAACAAATTTAAACAATTTTCTGTGTTGAAATTTTTGAACTTTGGTCTAACTTCGAGCTTATAAGGTTTGTCAAAAAAAAAATTTGCAGCATTAAAATAGCTCATTTAAGCTTAATTTGAGCCATGGAAATTTTTTAGCGCTGTTTTGGGAATGCAAAATATAAAATATTATTTTTGGGAGTTTTTTTCTTTTTTCGTGTCATTTTTCTACAGAAACTGATTTCCAATTGGCCTTGTTGACTATGACTGTCGAATATATCTAATCTATATTTTTCGTTCAGATCTTACTATCACATCTAACAGAAAAAAACGACGCTATTATGAAAAAAAAATTGTGTTTGTAAAAACCATGGACGAGTATTCTGTGCTATTTGCACAGTTACCGGCTATCCTTACTCATATTTGACGTGAGACGAATCAATTTATCAAAAAAATTTAATAAGAAATCGATAAATCAAACTTTTAAAAAATCCAAAAAAAATTTTCTTCCAATGTTTCCTTCTCGGTAATGCATGGAGTAACCCAAACTTATCAAAACTTTTCCAAAAGTTTCGGGGCTGGTGCGACCGAAAAAAGGTCTGATTACCAAAGAAAAATGTCGCGGCCGAAGTGGTTACAAAAAAGTTCAGCGCCCCGAGCAAATTTTGCCTGCGTTGAAATTTTTCTTTTGCAATTTGATTTCTCGTGCCGCTTTAAGTGCTTTACAGTGCGTCCACCGGCGACCTTAAGCCAATAATTAACTCAAATTCTGAAGAAAAAATGGCTAAACCTTTTTGAAAAGTGGCTGAATTGTCTGCGACTGATTTGTCAGCATAATTTTGCCTGAATTGTCTGATTAATTGGCTGAATTTTATTTGGCCGAATTATTTGTACGCCATTTCAATATAACAAAAAATTGCTTCTCATGATAATTAAGTTTTTAATTCTTGTTCACTACCTTATTTTAACTTCACAAAAAGCTTTTTGAACATTGTTTAAAATCATTAACTATTTATTAGGCTGTCGAGCCATTTTTGATACCAACTGTCGATAATTTCCAGCTTGCCTATCAGAACAGAAACAGACATTGTCCGCGACTATAAAAATAGGAAAGTTTATAGACTCGATTAGTTAGAATTTTGTAAAGGGCTTGTAATCGAAATGTATAAAAAAGCAATCATCCTCTTGTGACGCAAGGTGTCTTCACTCTAAACACACCAGGTCCTCTGCTGTCTGTAGAAGCTATTTTCTAAAGGTGTTCGCAGCTAAACATTCTAGTCTCGTTTGTACTCAAGTAAACTCAAAGACGAGCACAGCATCGCAAGACTTTGATGAAGGTTTTTGACGTTTCTGATGGTCTGTAAACAACTTGAGACGCTCAGTTTTTGGCTTGATTGCAAGTTTTATTGTTGAAAATTTATACTCATTCAGATACATTTAGTCTTGATGATTTTTAATATTTGAAAACTTACTGCAGCAGCAAACAATGAGTGCTAAAATTCACCTGCAAAAATTTGATTTGGGAGATAAAATTGGCTACAAAATAAATAAAAATAAGCAATTATGTTCAACTGGGTGCAAAAAAATAGATCACCAATTTATTCATTTTGGTATTTATGTCGGAAATGGAGAAATTGTTCACGCTGAAAAAGGATCAGTTCAAATTGAGTCAGTTGAGAAAGTTTTTGATGATGAAGTTATCCCGGAAACATGCAATGACTTGGACACTAAACTGAATTCACGCGAGCCTCGGTTCATTGCAACATCGGCAAGGGCACTTATTGGGACCAGAATTCAACCCGATATCTTACAACCGGACGTGTCAGTTTGCGAAATTTTTGCTAACAAGTGTCGATATTTGAACTGGAAGGTTTGCAGATGCTCAAAGATGCCAAGGAGAACTCCGTTTTGGCTTCAAAGGCAATTTTACTTCGGAGTTGCCGCCCTATTTGCGGGCACGGTATTATCGGCGTCTTCCTATTCCTCTTTCTTCTGGTAGAACAGTGAAATTGTTAGTAATCAAAACTAATTAAACAGCTCTCTAAATTAACTGATAGTGAAATATCAACTAATTTAATTAAACTATCACTATTTTAGTTTTTGAGAAGTGAGATGCATGACTGAGGATCCAGTATGTATTTGGTTATAGTAGCGAGATTAAGGTTCCATCAAGGACTTGTTCTTCCGACCAGTAGCGGATTTGGGGGGAAGTATATTGAAAAATTGAACAAAATATGGTAAAATTAAACAAAAAGATAATTTTTTAACGACATATAGTGGTTAACTAGTCAGTTATGAAATCATCTTATGATCTGTTGGTCTATCATTTCACATAAAACGAAACAGAAAATAAAATAAAATTTTCCAAAAAATGAAAAAGATTTTCTAATTTTTTTTGCTATAAATTTTGGTACGTTTTTTGCTACATCGATTGACTACAATTGTACACATACCAAATTTGTTCCGCGTGATTATGAGTCCATAAGAAGCGTCAACTTCTTTCGAGGATTTGCAAGACTTGTCTTTTTTACGTAACGTATAAACCGTCGTAAAATGATGCAATCAATCATCAATGAAATGATGTGAACAAACATGGATTCACTTTTTATCTGCAACTTTAAAAGTTTGATCACATTTCAATTTACAAATTTGGAGTATTTTAAGTTCTCCCATCATGCCTTAAAACAACGCTAAACATGTAATTTAACTTTGCTTAAACTTTTAAAAACTGGAACATGGAAATGAAAAATATTGTTGGTGGATTGGTTGTAGCAATCGTTGCAGGTGTTATCTTGGGATCAGCTTTTCTTTTGTGCCTTCTTTATTGGCGAAAGTCGCGAAAGAGCAAAAAAGATCGCCAAATTTCTCTAGAGATGAAAAAAGCAAATCGCGCATCAACAACGAAAGCAATTTCTGTCGAAGATCCTGACGTGAGAACTGATATAAAAATGTCCGATGGAAATCTCGACGGTGAAATCATCAATGTTGCACAACCAACAGTGAATTCTGAAAGTCTAAAAGACCAAATTTCAGTTTCGTCATCAAAACAATTGATAAAAGAAACCTTTATCCAAGACGACCAAGTTGTTACGGAGGAGCAAATTAATTCTGAGCCTACAGTCTTGAGCTTAGAAGCAGGTTCAATTTCCAGAAACACACTCGGTTCCAAGAAAAAAAGACGCCGCTCGACTGCCATTACTGGTAAAAGCATAGAAACTACAACATCGAACTCATCCAAAGTGAATCTAGAGGCGACTTCAAATAAAATATAAAATGATGATTCTCTGTTTTCAGTCAATGAGGAGTTTAATAAATTAGATTATTACTATTTCTATCCTCAGAGGTGATAAGCTAATTAGCGCTCAAAAGATTTCAATAATATCATCGATTGTATCTAAAACTTAAGAAGTTCTGACAATGTTCCATTTAGGTTTGAGTCGCGAAAGTTATGAGTTTTGGGTCCTTTTGCTCGTCACTTAGTAACATTAGCAATTCTAAAAAAATCACCCGTGTTGAGAAAAAAAGGGTTGGAGATATTACTTTTCTTAGACTTAATTAATTAGCCATTGAACGATGAGCGATGCAACGCACCATAAATTAAGTATGCAGACTATTACCTATCCTAGATCCGCACCTGTCTATTATCATAATTTATCAACGTTTATACAGGCTATTAGTAACTATTTCATGAACTTGTACTTAAATTATGATATAAAAAAATCCTTTTCATTTTATAAAAACCATTTTGCACCCGTGTCTGTTGGAACATTTGTTGGTCAAAACTGAGAAAGTTTTTAATGCAGGAAATTTTTACTTGTTTTTCGTTAACAAAATATATTGTTAAAATTTTCCTTGAAAACGTTTTTTTAATCAGACAAAGCTGCTATGAGAAACGTTCAGTAATTGATAGGCGTTAAAAGATGTTCAATATTTCGGATACTTTTGATTAATTGGAGGCAAGTTTCAAACCAAGAACGAGGCCCCTCAAATCGGATTCCTAAAACTCTGCTCAATTTTCAGAGTAAGTATTGTATATTGCAGAACTCAGAGAAGCTTCTTCTATCAATTAGCTCGACATGGTTCCTAATTTCCGGTGGCTAACGCAACTATTAGTTCATCAGGTTCGAATTCAAACCACCTCAAAGACATCATTTGCAAAAAAAATTCCACAATCTAATCACAAATTTACTCAATAATCAAACCAATTCTCTGCATATATCTAAAATAGAATCCAAATTGATAATAATTACCTCGATCAGTAAAATCTTGTTTGATTTTAAATTAGGCAGTTTTAATCAACTGGTAATCAGGACAAATTTGCTTAAGCCTGTATCAAATCCTATTTGAATTTCTTCAAACTTTCTAACTTATCAAAATTTACCATTCAATGACACTTGACCTTCAAAAGATATTTTTTCACGGCCTTTGAACAAATTTTCTTATCTCACCGTCTGAAAATCAGTCTTTATTCAATCGCTTAAATTCAAACTTATGAATCGGTATATGGCACAGAACAAAGCTTTCGGGAAATGGTCCGCGTTGTTCGACAACGAAGAATTCTGCAGCATCTTTGATCTTTCGGATTCCAGCATAGATGCTTCCGCTGACACCCCCTCGCTACGAGCGGAGAGCAAACATCCATCTCGGCCCTTATCTGAGCGAATTAATTCCTTCACGAGTGAAGATTCATTTAATGTGAGTTATGCAATCGAAATGTACGACCCTGAAAGTAAAAACGAAACCCATGATTTGAGTTCATCCAAATTACACTTTGACGATAATTTCCTGGACAATGAAAGCATCAAAATACACTCGTTCACAATAGGAAAAAGCGACAGTAGCTACTCAGTTCACAGCGAAAATTCAAAATCAGAACATGCATCAGAAGAAGAAAATTGCGATGACAACGGAGCCCGCGACAATCACTCGAGTGACAAAACGAGCAATCATTTGGATCGACCTACAAGTGAAACCCAGTTTACAACTCCAATTAAACCGATTTCCAAAACGAAGCTTCATGAATCAATTCGTTCTACGTTTTCACACGTGACCAAATCACTTCAGAAGTCAGTTGGAAAGAACCGAAACTTCAGCGTGAAAACTTTTCATGACCAAAATAGTCCGGTAAAGTCAAAATCGGAGAACTCGGACTGGAGCTCATCGTTAATGGCCACATTAAACCATAATGAAGGTTTCAGACTGTTTCAAAAGCATTTAGAAAACGAGCTCTCAACTGAGAATCTAAACTTCTGGCTGGACTGTCAAAAATTGAAACAGCTTCATGGAAAAATGTTTGTAAAACGCGTAATCGAAATGTATGGGATCTATTTTAGCGACGACTCGCCTATGGAGCTGAATGTGGACATTAAAATTAAACTTGAAGTTGCAAACTCCATAATCAGAAAACCCAACCGAAAGTGCTTTGACAGGGCTCTGGACCACGTGATCAAATTAATGGAGCGGGATTCTTTTCCGCGGTTCCAAGCGACTCTTACAGACAACAAGCTGTTCAACCAGACATCAAACGAACCATTTTGAACTTTCAATTTCATATTTGTACAGATTTCTTGATGAGATTGCAATTATTTTTGATAATTTAGTTAATAATTTACTATTGACTTTTTCAAAACCCCTGACCGAAGAAGCCGTAGTTCCTGAAAAGCAAAGTTCATTTTCATTAGTTATAAGTAGTTGCCAGGTTGGGCAAATCACAGAGTTTGATTTCCACAAGCTTCAATCAAATTACTTTGATGAAATTTCCCCTGGCATTCAAATGGTACCCAGGAGATGTTTCTAATCATCATCAAGTTCATTCCGCTCGCAGGTTTGCAAATCAGAAAGATGAGTTCTTCAATTTCAATCGTCTCAGAATTTTCAAATGTCTCTTTTTCGAAATCATCTGAAATATACCAGCAAAAGGTCACACAAAATTGACAACAATAGGTCATAAACTTTTCAGATCTACTGTTATTCGGTGTTGGGCAAATATGGGCATGACATCAGGATTGTGACTCAACAAGAATAAGCGAACAAGAAAGTTCTCAAAAAAGACAGAGATTGGCCAAAAAATTTCTTGGCCAAAAAATCAAGACCATAATTTTAAAAAAACGAGCCGGGAAAAAATTCAAATAATATCAACATCGTTCGTCACAAAAAGATTTGAAATAATTGTTTATAAGTTTAATTACCATTTATTTTCTGTCAAAACCCTGTCAGAATAGCCATATTTATTACAAGTTTCTACCATGCAGATTTTGTTGTAGCGTTGTGTTTTGAAGATTTGAACCCAATTGCGCTTCTTGGGCGCGAGCTGCCCCTAGATTGTCATGAAGTGTTTTACGGTCAAAGTAGCGGTTATTTTCATCGGTACGTACAGACTTCAAAACTGAAAAATAGTTACACAGGGGCACATCCGCGGAAGTAGAGCGTGGAAGACAATTCAGTGCCAATTTTCACTTAGTTCGGTTCTTCTAAAAATATGAATTAAAAAGTCATCTGTCAACTAGAAGACTTCCCCGACTGGACTGATCCAATCAAATTCCCCAGCTTGTTTCCCTCAAATACAAACAGAAATAGAGTAAAGCTCTGAGTTGATCTGATTAAAAAACAGAGGGAGCAAGAAAAGAGACTATAGATGCAATCGTAAGAAGCAATAGTATTGTTATTACGTCCCATGAAAAAAAAGCGTCGTTGATTTTTTTCTTAAGAAGTTTCTCGCAGCGCGGCAAGAGGAAAAGGAAAAGCTTATAGAAAGGAGGAATGAATTGTATTATGAAGCGAGCATAGAGCGCGCTGAAAAAAAAGCACTCAAATGATAAATCGGTCGAAACACTGGGAAAAAGATTTTAAAATCCTTCCTTGCTCCTTGATAAAATTCATACCACAGATTGAAAGCCGCCGAGAAAACTAATTAATCAATCATGGCTACTTCTACACAGAGTTCAGGCACCATAAAGTACCTCTATATACATTTTTCTAAGCGTGAAATATCGTTTTAGAGAATAATATCTTCGTGTAAGTCTTTTTAAGCCTTTCGGTTTAATGACCCTTCTGCTTTTCTGGTAAATCCGCTTACCTTTCTGAAAACAGTGTTTTATTCCACCCAATTCTGCACTTCCAGCTACTGTTGAGCAGCTAACAGTATAATACCATTGTACCACAGTTACACAGAAGAGAGAAAAAATATCAGTTCAACTCAGTTAAACGTTAGAATTACAAACGCCAGTTTGACGATAGAATTTTAAAAATTCAACCCAGTTCGACGTTAGAATTAAAACATCACACCGACCCTTCATCAGGTTAAAAAAAAATGACAGATTCTGAAGAGAAAAAGGTTGCAGATGCTGGATTTGAAAAGAAACCAACTTCGAAGCGAACACACAAAAAACGTGAGTACTTAAATTGGTAAAATTTTGGCCTTTTTTGTATGCTTTTTGTTCCAACTTTCGTCGAAAGTGCGCAATATATAAACTTGGGGTGGATTTCTTATTCTGACCAGTTGAAGAAAAAAATATTTGCTTAGTCAGGGGATCTATTCATTGATCTGCCTGCTGCCCACCGGTTCTGCACACCTTTACCGCAAATTGAATTGAAACAAGCTAATTGGTTATTAGTTCCACTTTAAATTTGATAAGCCTAAATTTCATAGTTTGTCATTTTTTAATTTACCGAAGACTTTTCAAATTCAATTACTCAGCACTCGGAACATTTTGGTTTTGCCCTGATACGAACAGTCATGTTTATACTAATATGTGCGTTTGTACTGATTTTTGTGTTGTTTTTTCGACTTGACGAAATATGTATGCTTTGAGTGGTTTTTTATTTAGTCAAATTTTGTTTTTCAACTAGTTATTTTGCGGGGATTTCTTTCGATATGATCTAGAAACTATTGAGGCCTTGAGATCAAACATACAAAAAAATTTGTCACCTGTGATTAATTTTTGTAAAGTTATTGGGAATTGAAAATTGCAAAACTATCCGACTGGGAATAATTAACGAGCGTTATGTTGCGTTCTTAGAACACGCTTAAGCCACAAATTATATATTTCAATACAGAATTGAGGCCAGCATTTTGGTCTTAGTAATCCAATTTGGTAGTTAATTACATTCCGGGTGAGAAAACAAAAGGCAAAAAGGAATAAAACTCTTTTTTAATTAAATATTTTTTAAAAAGCAAAGGCTTTATCTTCAGCAAAACGGGGCAGTAGGAAGATTTAGGGCTTTACGCTGATAAACAGGAAATTTTATTAGAGCACTGAAAATTTTCGTTATCTATCATTCAAGTCAGACTCAATAAACATCAAATGGGCATGGGTTTAAAGCTGAAGATAGAAAAAAAAACAAAACTGCTGGCATCAAATCAGAAAAACTGAAAAAAAAGTTGCATTTTTGTTTTAATTCATTCAAGTCAGACTCAATAACCATTAAATGGACGTAAGTTTAAAAATAAAGACAAAAAACCAAGACTGCAGATATTAGAGTAGGAAATTAGAAAAATGGAGTACTCAAGACTAGAGAGCTCTAAACAGCAACAGCTGTTACGGTAAATTTTCAAATTGAACATAAGTGCTTTGGTTTCAAATGTACCTTTCTTTTTTGAATACCCTAAGCAGAGGTTTTTGTGAAATAGATCCAAGAAAACAATGGTTGAAAATTCGAATTTTTTTTGTAAAATTCCCTCACACCCATTGTGTAGTCTAAACTGATATATTTTGCATTTATTAACTTTTTGGTTTCAAAAATTAACTTAATTTTCTTCGAAAACTTCACTTTTTCCAAATCCACACATACACAATCTCAGGTACGAAGTGACATTTTTTCTTCTATCTTCGAGGTATTTAAAGCATATCATTTTCTAATGATTGTTAAGCCGGATTATTAAGCTGCTTACACTACGCGTTGATAAAAAATGGTGAATAGTTCACTTTGGCCGCCCGTAGAGAACTTTTACATGCCGGTAATCTTACAAAAATCAAGACAGGTGAAAACAAAAGGTGTTAAATAGTTTTTTACATAACGGTAATCTTGCAAAAAAAAACAAGATATGTGAAAATAAGCAGTGTTCAACAATTTTTGTTTCAAAACTTTTCGCGTTTTTGAAAATTAGCTCGTCAATACCAAACTTGAGTTGTAAGAGGTAGTGATTTGATCAGTTAACTTGCCTGACTTCATTTCGGAACACGTTTGTGTGCAAAAAATTGCTCATTTCACACTCCCAACATCGTCAAAAAATTTTAAACTTATGAATGAGCAGTTACGTAAGTTCAAATTTATGCAATTAGGATAGTGAGTAGTACATCCCTTTGGGAACATTTAAGTTCCAAGTTCAGTTCATTTTGAACATTTCATTTGAAAGTTACCCCAAATAAAAGGAATTAACCTTAAACAAATTTATGCTTCATTTTCTTCGACTGTTGCATACGTTTGAATACCTATTGTTTATTTTTTTAAAAGGCTAAATAAACTCCAATAAAAGAACAAACTAGTTTTTCCAAACTAAAGTTTTGTCAAAACGATCTTATGATTAACACACAAAAAAAGCAGAATTTGACAATTCACAGTTAAAAGGCAACTAAAATACTTCTAATGAAAATTAAACAAATCTATATTATTTTGTTTCTGATAACTAATCATTATGGGCGATAGAACTCTAAATAAAAAAAAATTTATGATTCGAGCTCATAGTTTAATGAAGCTCGAAACAAACCAACATCAAAACCTTTCTGAACTAAAATAGAGACATACGCGGGACGAGATAAGTATTACTTTCAGAGAAATGTCATTAGTTTGTTCAAGTCAGGTTCTCATTACAGATTGAAAAAAAAAACACAGTTTAAAAATTAAAAGGCTTTGGATATGACAAAAGGCAATATCTGGATATGAAGAATGATGTATACATCAGGACGATATAGTAAGATGTTTTAAGGTTTTGTAGTTTCAGTAGGAAAAACGAGTACAAAATCATTGTTAAATTTAAAATCACCAGAGGACGCTTTTGTCTGGATTGCGAAATCCGAGGCCTGATGTAGATCACAAATAAATGAACAATGTTGCAAATCTAAAAACAAACCCTGCAGTCTTTCCATCGAAACCTTGAACGAGCAGTTTATGACTTGAGGAAAGATACTTTCATTTTTTTTTCCTTGAAAATTCACTTCTTTTTGTATTAACCTCCATACGCGAACTCAAGCACAAGGTGAAAAATTCTCATTTATCATTGGAGTATTTCGAGCAAATAAAATTCAAAGATTGCTGAACCAGATTAAGACGCTGCTTGCGCTACGCGTTGACAGAAAAAAAAATTAAGCAGACAATTGTTGCACTTTTGATATCATTATCAAAATTGAGTTGTATAAGGGAATACAATGAACAGTTAACATGCCTCATTTCAGTTCGGGACAAGTTTGGAAAAGTTACGTTCAAGTTAAGTTTTCAGCATCGTAAATAAACTTTAAGTTAACGAACGATAAGTTTGCATAGATTGAAAGCACATTTAGGATAGTGCGTAGCACATCCTTTTAGGAATATTTGGATTCCAGGTTTTGTTCTTTTGAAACATTTTTTGTTTGAAAACTCTTTTTTTAAAAAAATAATATATTATCAAACAAACATTTTCTTCACTTTCTCCGACTGTTGGATATTTTTGAAACCGTATTGCCAATTTTTTCTACGGAAATAATAACATCTGTTATTAGGACAATCTAATTTTTCATAATGAATGTTTTGCCCAAATCAGATTTCTGATAAATACATACAAAAGCAAACCAAAGTTTCACACTATTTTTGGAACAGAAAAAAAAAATACGAAACTTAAGAAAGAGGTGAAGCAGAGCTTCGCATCACTTGCGATACAACACAAACATCAAAAAAAACATTAGCAGCACAAAAAATGATGAAAAAAATAGATATACTTAAGTTTTCGTATGTCTCGATAAAATTTCAATCTAGGCAAACATGCCGAGCAAAATAATTGAATTTTAAATTAGCAGCAGAACAAAAATGACGAAGCGGATACAAAGCCGCCAGTTTTTGAGCAGACACCAGTTGAGCCGGAACAAAAAATAGATTTTGTGCAAAAATTTCACCTCCTCTAAAAGTATAGTGTCAACAGTTGCAACTATAATGATTATAGCCAACTGATATTTGGAAAAAAGAAATGAACGCAAGAAAAAACAACAAAAACTAACTTGTGCTTCGGAAAAAAACATTCGATTTTCCAGAAAAAATGATAGCCTTAAATCTCTTTGAATTTCTAAAAAAATTTATGATTAGCATTTTTTTTGATGAAGCTTGAGAAAACTGGATCATTGGGTAAAGTTTTTATTCCGTTGGGAAATCTGATAATTAAATTCTTTTTTCAAAAATAGATGTCGATCACGCTTTTTGTGATTTTTACATTCGATAGGATTTTGTCTTCCTTTTACCAAAAGAATTAAACTGAAAAAAAAAACATTCGAGCTTGAAAAAAAATTTGATTCTTTCTCCGGGAAAAAAATACAAAAAACAAATTATCGCGACCTTTATATAAGTCTGAATTACATTCATCGAACTATAAAAACAGTCATGGTCTCGGTTTCGAACGCTTGATCATTCGCGACTTAGTCCCGCTTCTTACCACCACACTAAAAAAAGCCCCAGGAAAAAATGGCCCCATATACAAATGGCCCCATATTTTTATGAAAATTACCTTCATGAATAAAACAAGCTATCAAATGATTCAAGCGATTCTGTTAAACTAGTTGTTTAGTAGAAAAAAATCTATAACCCAGTTGGATATTAATAAAAATATAATAATGAAATAAACCCGCAAAGCGGGGATTAGATACTCTTGGTCGTTGATGACAAAGTTAGTAAAATAAACTGAAAAACCATGACTCAAGATAAATCGAGTATTTAAATGTTTGTAGTTTGTCAACCAACAACAGGTTCAAGTTCATTCAAAAGATTACAGGTTCGTGAAAAGGATCATAACCAGGCAAATTGTTTGATCTCGCGAGGGTGTTTGACATTTCGGTGACACGGTAAAAGAAATTTTCACAAAGTTTGCTCCAAAAATCATTGGCAGTCTCAAAAAGGTCTTGTTTCCCGTTCGATTTGAATCAAGGCCATTGTCGGCAGTCCACAAATCAAGAAAAATTATCAGCAACTCTATTTAAGAATGTTATTCAGCAAAGTTAAATCGTTTTTACATAACGACAGTGAAATTGGCAACAAATTGCTTTTATTCAAGTAAAAAACATATAATCCTCATCATTCATTTCATGTTTTTTGTGACACCTTTTTATGCATCGTCGTTGAAAATTTTCCAATTGCTTACATTGGTTTGTAGTCGCAAACCAAACTGGATATGCTTAAAAAATTATTGATAGTATGCAACTTTTAAAAAGCGAAACCCGAACAGAGCTACTCAGTGAGTTTGGCGAAGATCTTCTGGTGTAATCAAATTGCATGATTGTTTTTAAGCCTTTCGGTGATGTAGTCCACGACATTTTGAAATTGCACCAAACACCAAAGTCTTTCACCGTGTCTTTTTAAACTATTTGTTCGCCGTCAAAAGATGAAAGATCGCTTAAAGGGTATCGCTTGTTAGATTTTTGAAATCTAATTTGTTCAAATTTGTCAAATTTGAAGTCAGTTCTGTTTTCTGCTTCCCAGATTTTTACATTGTTTAAATCTGGTAATAACGCTTGCTTATCGCAAGCGTAGAAAGAAACAAAAAAATAAGAGTTCATTTAAATATCAAAAAATCTGTGTTCGAAAAACTTGTAATTCAAATGGATATTGTAACTCTGCAAAACTAAGTTTTATGATTAGAGCATATAACTTTTTTTGAAGCTTGGCATAACACTTCATCAAAAATTTTGTGAATTAGAGACATTCCCAGTATGTATCGTGAAATCATCTATATTAGTGTAAAAAATCTATATGTATATTGGCTATACATCGGCAAGCGTAAAAAAGAATCATTAAAACTAGGTTATATAAATATGAAACAACTCTGTGTTATGGAAAGTGTAGTTCAAACGGGATTTGTAACTCTACAATACTAAGTTTTATGATTAGAGCACATAGCTTTAAAAAGCTTGACACAAAACTATATCAAAAATTTTTTGAACTGATTTAGAGTCTTTCTCAGTATGCTTCGTAAATTGACAAAAAAAAACTTTTTTTTCTTGGTCAGGACAAGTTGTTCTCCTTTCAAAATAACAAACAGATTCTTAGGATAAAAAGCTATTTACAAAAACCTTTCACTGGATATGACAAATGGTGTCCAGACAAGGATGATAAAGTTAGACATTTTATCATTTCATCGTATTCATTACGAATGGAAAAAGTCATTGTTAAATTTTAACACAGCAGGAGACGTTCTGGTCTGGATTGTAAGTTTTAAGGCCTAATAAAGGGCAGAAAAAAAATTGACAAAATTTGAAATCAGAAGTTTGCATTTTATGCACGGTATACTGGGTTCACAAAAATTTGAGTTTTCAAAAGTTTAAAATGACGAAAATTAAATTAAGCACAGAGGCGAAGCGTAGCCACGCAACACTTGCGATACAACACAAACATAGCAATAAACTTAGCAGACAGAAAATGAGACCAAAGCAACTAAGTCGATGAATTTTTTTTCGAAAATTTGACATTTACAACCATAAATTTGCCTGAATGTTCTTCAACTCAGAGACAATCTGCCACAAAACACAACCATTGCCGTTATTTAAGCATTCGAAATCATTTATCGAGCGGCAACTAAGACGACAAAACTTGGGTAAACGCCAGCAGAGTTTTAAAAAAGCCAAGAAAAAATTGAGCTAAAAAAATTTGAAGCTGGAATTTCTACGAGCGGCAACTAATATGACAAAACTTGGGTAAACGCCAGCTGAGAAAAAGCCAAAAAAAGTTTGAGCTGAAAAAAATTGTAGCTCGAAGTTTTACGCTCTATTCACTGAAACACACGAACACAGAAACATCTATTTTAGCTTTCCAACTCGACGCAAAGTCGAGAAAGCAAAAACCGAACCCATTAAGCGAAAAAACCAACAAGTTAAATCAGCACATAATTATAGAAAATCAAATTCTGTTTATTTTCATACTAGGTTACGACTTTCAATTTCAGTTAAACCTATAATAAAAAACTACAATATAATATGAATAAAGCATCTTGAAAAAAAAAAGATACTACTAATGTTTAGAAGATAAAATGCTTCGTACATAAATTTGACAGAAATTTAGTAGACAAAGGATAGTATGAAAATTTAACTTTTCGAAAAAAAAAACAACTTGCATCAATCGAAAAAAAGATAACGTCCGACCGAGACTCAAACTCTAGACCTTCTATTCCGACGGCGTTTGCGCTACTTCTGGCTCAATTGAGAGGGGCTTGAACGATTTTGACTTTCCTTAAAAAGCGAGGTCAATTTTTTAAACTTCAGAGAAAAAACTGTACCGCTGGGAACCTTATGCACCTAAGCCGGGCTCTTTGCCTGTAGACCAAGCGGGAACTGCCTTGACAGACTACGATGTTCAATAAAAAAAGCAAGGTGCCCATCCATGCATAGTGGAAAAAAACAAGGTCCGGCTGGGAATCAGGCCCGAGACCTGTCGCTTGCAAAAAATTGTTTACTTGGAAAAAAGCTAGTTCCCGAATACAAACCACTTGCTCTCGCAAGTCAAAATACCGAAACTAAAAAAAAAGTTTCATCAAATTTCAAAGTTTGAAAAATTAATGAAAATGTCAGTATACGCTTCAAACCCCCTGCCCCCTCCCCTCTGCACGCTATTGCAAATGATAGAAACCATTAATAAACCACCGTAACCATTGAGAAACCAAAAGTCTACATTTATGAACTATTTTCTTTCAGACCAACTCACTTCGATCTAAATTCAATGATGTTGAGCTTATTCTGAGCTTAAGATATGTTTGTCCAAATAGACTTGTAGAGCATGACTTAACAACTTTTGAACTAAACCTGAGATCATTCTTTGTTTTGGAATTTTTGTAAATTATTCTTGGCAGTACAGCGACCATGGCGCAGTCGGCAGCGCGTAAGTCTCATAATCTTAAGGTCGTGAGTTCGAGCCTCACTGGTCGCAAATTCTTTTTGTCACAAGCTGATTTGTTACAGATATTTGCTTTAATAAACATATGCCAAGACCTGCAACTTCTTTTAGTGAAATCAACCGGCAGCATTTCAATTGAAGAAGAGGAGGCAAATCTGGCCCAAATATCTCTGGAGCAAGAGGGTCTTCTGGCAGAAGAAAAGCAGGAGCTGGACACCTTCCTGGAAACTGCAGAGGAGTTGGAGGCATCTCAGAATGACCAACAGAAGTTATCAGACTCGGCCAATCAAGGTTAGATTTCAGCTAAAGAAAATATTTTTCTTTCAAAATTGAAGCTTGTAAAATAAATTTGAATTTGACAATTTCAACAGCTTGACAATTTCAGGCCAAATAACAGAAGAGAACCAACTAATTTGAAAAACATATTTGGTTTTTCAGTTTGAAAAAGATATTTTTCATTATTTTGCGTCTCAGCGTAATTATTGATCGAGCCCAAGACCTGTCGCCCAAACAACCCATTTTTGGTACAAAGCGTTGGCTGCGAATTTCGAAAAAAAATTGCACCAAATTATTTCTGGTAAAAACCTGTGCAAACTTCATTTTTTGTCTAAATTTAAACCAATTTGAGAAAAAGCTTTTGAAATTTCAATTTTTCTCGTATCCGGTTAATTTAATTCAGCACTGTAGTCATCGCTCCGTTTCATTTAAATAATTAACCTTTCGATTAGGCGTCTGGCTGTTGAACTAAAAAGGTTAGATTACGCCTAGTGTTTGATTCTAACTAATACACAAGCTCTTTGCTCTGCTTGTAATGATGCTAAAAATTAATTGCATTTGGTTGGCGATTTGTACCGGTTATAATCCTAGTTTCACAAAAAATGATGCAAAACCAAGTTTTCCTGCTATAACCCTAATTAATAATTTGAAATTGTTTTTTTTATTTTCATTATTAGACTGTTTACGAAAAAAACATGCAAAATACTTTAAATGGAAAGTCAAAAGAGCAATTCTTCCACAATAAAACCATAATTTTTTTTTTACAATTGGATTTTCCCTTTTTACCTCCACATAAATTCAATTAGTCATTTTTTCCGCATCTTCATGCGTTTTGTCGGTTTCATTCAATGCTTGTGAAGCACAATTGATATTACACGCTCTCCTTATAACCCTTACTTTTCTGCGAGGTCATCTCATGAAAAAAAACTGGCCAAAATTAAATTATTAGAGATATATTGGCACCAAAATGGAAGTAAATTTTGGTGACCAGGGGGTCAAATACCTGAGGAGTGATTGTCCCTAAATCAGCTTATGGTTAGCAGCATTAATAAAACAGTTAATAAAACTTGCGTTCACTTCCTTTTTCCTTCTCGAAAATTGAGCAGCGCAATTAAATAATTTCTGGGTGTTGGGGTATAAACAAAAAGACCCGCAAACTATATAACCTTTCATTTCCTTTCAATTGCCAATAAAGTTGAAACGACTCATCATCAGGATCTTTTTCATTTCCCATCATTAGAGTTACTAGTTTAATACATTTTAGAACCGATGCGAGATTCGAGTAGTCCCAATCCCATGTCATATGCCAATCTAGTGTTGGAGAAGACAGAAGAGGTGGAGGCGACTTACATCACCACTCCAGTCGAGATACCACAGCCACTCGGATCCACCACCGACGACGGCGAGAACTCATGATGGCCTCGGCAAATTTTTAAAAACTGAAATAGAACTGATGTTACTGTTCTTATGTTTTGTATTCGAGTTATCAGCTCTGGATAGAGACCAATGACTCTAGTTTTTTCTATTAGTGTATCTTGCCATTTTTCATCTTGATGGCCGGCTGCGACAATCAAATTTGGATTTCTAAATTGTCAAACGACTTTGACTGCAAAAATGGTTCATCAAGCTAAGACTTCATACTTTTAAAACAATAGGAGATAAAAGGCAAAATATTTTTTGTAGACATTGCGTGACATAGAATTTTTCCATCCAAAATCCTAAAGGTGGTACTTTATCAACAAATAGGTTAACCAAGATTCCCAGCATTGAGCTGCGCTACTTATAGCTACATGGGAAACATTCTATGATTTTGGGTTATACAGTAATAACAGTTTTTTTTGCGATATATCCACTCCGAAAAAATAAATCATCTTCTAACCACGAGTGATTGTGAATATCCTTCTGCTCATTGCACTTTTGCGCTTTACTTTATAGTCAATTTGCGCTTTCAACAATTGTATTGAGGAATATTTATTTCTCTGTATTACAAAACAATGGTATATTGCTAGTTTATATTCGGAATTGTAAAATAAAAATATCTTGTTTAATTTTACATGACTATTTAGTCCAAATTATAGAAACAAGAAACAATTATAATCAAAGATTGAACAAAGATCGAAAAATAGGACAGTTTTCTGGAGATAAAATATCCGAATAAATAATTCGTTAATCGAAACGGAATAACTGCTTCAATTAAAGCATACTAAAGTGGCTCATCGGGATAATACGAAAAAATGGGTACTAAAACTGGATTTAAAATAGTTCACAAGTCTAACTACTGAGAAAAAGACGCCAAATAGTGCATGGTGCCCCCAAGCTACTAGATGTTGATTCTCATTGATTATGCTTTGCGCCTGAAATTTTGGGAATTTTCCTGAAATAAAACCCCGAACCAACACTCGCTTACGCTATCTGAACTAAATTTTCAATAAAACTCATTTGATTTTATCAGCAACAATGATAAACTTAATTCAAAAATCAAAAAATATTGGCTAATTAAAAAAATACGAGATTTCTCAACTAGCTGTTTTTGATTGTATTGGCTTCGAAAGATGTTTTGTCATATTTAATTATATTGTTTGGTGTTTGGTTAGGGGTTGTAGACAGACTTTTGACACCGCTAACAGCAGATTATCAGCGGATGGCAAAAAAATTAGCGATTTTATTAGGGGCAGTGACTTTCACTTCCGACATGAGTCTCAATTAAGGGTAGTAGTTCCGACGAAAGCTTCCTCTTAATTCAAACAAAAATTAGGTGTCAATTAGCGGTGCCAAAACCCTGGTCATGGCAATTTCGAGACTACAAATGGTTTAAATTACTCTCCGGGTTCAGAATAGAGTACGACTTGTTATCTACAACACACAACGAGCCCTGTCTAGGCCTGAACAGTTTAACATTCGGATCACTTTTCCCATTTAAAGGGGCAAGTGGATCTGTTAACGTGATAGACGAGGCACTTTTAGTCATCGCTTTCTTCGCATGAGGATGATGATGGGCACTATTTGACTGCTCCTCGCTACTTGTAGAACAGGTATCCAACTTGTTCTGGATGAGAGGGTTGATTGAGTTTGCGGTTTTGGAAACGTTCCAGTAGAGTCGCTCCTGCAAATCTGCCAGCCAGTCTCCGACCGGCTCTTCAGAGCATATGCAGGGAACCAGGTCACTTGGCCCAGCTGACTCGATCACGATTCTAAACAAAGTCGGTTAAATTCGTATCTACCAATTGCGGCTATACATCGGGATCATTTTCTAAGAAGCTTGGAAATAACACTTCATTTTTTCAAGACATGAAAGCTAGTCTTCAAACATTGTTACTTCTTTCATGATTGCTTGGTAACAACCGTTCGTGCCTCCACATCAAGTTTTTACCAAAACTAACAGTACCTGATCAAGCAGCTTAGAACATTTCTAATGACTACATTAACTTTACTTTTATCGAGCACTTTTTGTACTAGTCCATCTTGCATCAATCATAACACCAATATAACGAATGTCGTAAGCTTGTTTTCAAAAAGATTGCTCACAGCGCTTAGGCATTTTAAAAGCAACTACTAAAACTAAAAAGATCAATGAACGTTGGGCCGCTTGAGTAAATATCGAGACCACAGCGAAAAATAACAGCTCCGCTGCTGTGCAAGTTTTATAGGTAATCATAATACAGAAAGATTAGCCGGTCAGTGTGCAAGTACCACAATGTTCCGACCACTCCTACAATTGCACATAAAGAAAAACAAACAATAGTTTAAATTGTCGAATTTTCTTTTTATATGTAACTTTGAATTTTCGAAATTCGAAGCAAAATTATCGGCTCTACTAAGTTCATGCCTGACTTCCCAGACCAATTTTTAACGAAACTCTTTACTTTTAAAATCTTTTTTTTTTGGAAACGTAGTCTCGCTCAAACGGTTGCAATTTGATGCTAGATTTTCCTCCCTACGGGCTTTCATGATGGTACCTAATATCGGGCTAAAACTCACCTTACCCTAAAGACTCTCCAAGTCTTTTCATGGCATGGGCGAAACCAATGACATCCCGATTACCTCATAAATAAAATACTGCGGGAAAATCAGTTTGAGAGCCCGCCTTTTTGCTCATAACTCGCCAAGCGGCAAATTTTAAAAATCAGACCAGGCTTTTTCGACCTTGGTAACAAATTTTTTGTGAAAATTTTTTTGGAATCCGAATTAAAAATGTTTTTCTTTCCACCAAGGATTTGTCACCTTCTACAATAGTTGAGTACGAGAGACTATTCGTGAGTTTCAATCACTGAAAACATAGCCAACAGACAGTTTGGAAAAGAGTCAATGAACGCCAACAGAAAAAAAATACTTGTTTGTTTACAAATCTCAACATTCAATTTCAAAGAAATAAAAAGATGCCCTTACATATAATCGAATTTCTAGAAAAATTTATGATCGGCACTCTTTCGATAACATTACACCAATTTGAGAAAAGGAGATCAAAAAGTAAAATTTTTATTTCGCTGGAAAACATGAAAATTAAATTCCACTTTCAAATGTAGGATAGTGAAGTTTACCTTCCTTTTTGACTGAACTGAATTTAAAAAAACCAAAAGTCAACTCACGAAAAAGTAGATTCGAGCTTGAACAAATTTAAGAACTTTTCCCGAAAAAAATTAATCGCGAACTATTTAAGAGCCTGAACTACATTCATCGACTCTTAAAAAATCCTTGGGGATGTAGAGCATCTATTAAGCATAGCACTTAAGCCTTAAAATTTCATTAACGGCTATAAATGGCTCGCTAGACGGGTTTGCTACACCCAATTTTCCCTTTTTCCTAAAACTCACTTAAAACTGAAGAACGCAGAAATTTCGCCTTTCCAAACCGTTTAACAAATTGATTACATTTGAAACTGTTTTAGAAAAAATATCCACTTTGTTGTTTAATTAAGATTACGGCTGCAAAGCATAAAATCTCTATGGACTCTTTAGCTTCCCTCTCTGAAGCATTAATTATAATTTTCTCTTCAACCTGTTTGATGACACAATTATACCAGAGAAATATATTCTTCTTCTGAAATTATGTTAAGCAGAGAAGCGTCTGTGAACTAAAATAAGAGCACTACTTTTTGTAAACTGCTAGGTTTTAATGCTAGCTGGAGGTTGTCGCCTTTGGCAATAATTAAGTTATGTGGCACAGTATAAGCACTTTATTAAATTACAACAAGACTGCTCGTATATCATGGCAAAGCCCTAAATGTTCTGACTGCCCCTTAACTGGCCTTGATTACATTTTTTAAAATTATTTTGATAAACAGTAAGTTTTCTAATGCCAATAACAAATGCAAGTGCTAACATGTGAGTAAAATTGATATGACCAATTATATTTGGCCTCAATTCAATTTGGAACGTATTGAAACTATCAAGGTATTATTAGAGCAGTGATGCCGTCGGCATTTTGGTCTTGTGCAACCACACTCGCTTTGCAATCCAAAGATATCGGGATGGATACCCATACGCAGTCAACTTTCAAAAATCGGTCCGATTCAAAAAAACATCCCAGGCAGATATATTGATCGAAAGTCGGATCAAATGAATAATTTGCTGTGCTCAACTCACACTTCTTGTGTGCCGTTCTCTCCAGTGAGCTGGATAAGTTCGTCCCCGTCGAAACAAACCCACGGGTAGAACCTCGAGTTGTCAGCCGGCAACACCTGATAACGTCATTATATTCAATTCACATCATGTCATAAAAACATGAAAGCACTTCCAATATCTTTCAAGCATTTGAGACTTTTAGAAAATGTTTAAGGTATAATATGGCCTCACAGGTAAATTAGTAAGAGTTTAATTCTTAGGGAAGTTTTTTCAACCCACACATTCCTTGGAATATAGTATTAGTTCGTTTCAAAAGGCCTTTGGAAATTATTTACAGTGTTGCATTCCACGTAAAATCCACGCTGTTTTAGCCAGCTGAAAAGTTTAAACCTACAAAATTGAAACGCACAATCTGAAAGTTTTGATCAACTGTTGAAAACAAGTTCAAGCTCAAGTAAATTGATATATAAACTCTCGTCTAACTGAACTAGCAAATTTTTTGAAAGGTCATTTGATCAACTTTTTCGGATGAAACTTTTGCAACTTTTTCTACCTTTATGACTGAGTTGAATGGTAGTATGATGGGTCTGAAGGAGAGAGAGTGGACGCATATGGGGGTGATCATGATGCAGGGGATGTCCGGGTGCACCAGGGACGCACCGGCTGAGAGGGCGTGGGCTGTGCTGCCAGAGGGTGTCGACACTAGCACACCTGTTAAGTCCACAACGCATACTTATCATTAATGCAGTTTCCAAAAAAAAATGAGACTTATTGTTGCACCTGAAACAAATAAACACTAAACTACACAATCTAAAGTCTTCTACAATTCACGTTGTCTAAAAAGTCACTGCAAACTCTTTAAAGTCATATAACAAAAAGGGCACTCTAAATAATTTTGATGCGAAATAAAAAACATTTCAATTAAAATAGCTCAAAAGTTGACCAAAAAAATCAAAAAGCTAAAATTTAGAAAAAAAATGAAAAATAACAAAAAACAACACTTTAAAATGACTCAAGCTGACCCCTAAGCTTTTTAAAACGTTATAGCTTCTGAAAAAACGTTCAACTTTATCTAATTTTAGAGAAATAATCTCGATTGAACTACAGCAGTTTAATAACAAACAAAGATAGCTAGTTGCTGCGCAAGTAGCACAGAAAATTCCCACCATATTTTTAAGAAAACTTGAAAACAATTTCATTTTTATACAAATTATGTAGTTTTTCATTTGAAGATACTTCTATATTGTGAAGCCAAACAATATAAAAAAATAACGAGGACAACTTTCGCACGAAGGCTAGTTCAAAATAGATGGAAAGTTTTGCACGAATAAAAATACCTTTCTTTCAAAAGGAACGCGCAGAGACCCGCACTATAGACAAATCCGCATAACTAAGGAAAATACAAACATAGCCAATATTTCCAATTATGGGTTTCACAGAAAAAAATACATGACGTAAGAGCTCTTCAACAGAATCTACTTTTGAAAATTGTAAAAATTAATTTGAAAGTGGCATTTGGCAAATTAATTTGATGAGGACTTGAAAAAAACTTCAAATCCGTTAAAAAAAATAAGATCCGTAAAAAAATTTTTGGGCTTTCACCGGGAAAAAACAAATTAACTAAAACAACTACACAATCTTCTTGAAATGACGTCTTCTAAATTCAAATCACTGCAAACTCTTTAAGTTCATGTGATAATTAGATCCTTTTCAATTTGATGCGGAAATAAAAAACAGTTCAATAGAGATGGCTCAAATTATTCTGCAAAAATGGCGAAAAAATAACGACTTTAAAATCACTCAAAAGCTGCATGGTTTAGCTTCTCAAAAACATTTTTTATCCTATAATTTAAAAACATAGCCAACTGACAGTTGGAAAAGAGTAACGAACACGAGAAAGCAGAAAAAAACGACTTGTTTATTCAAAAATCTTAAGTTTTGAATTTCGAAAAAAAGATGGCCTTAAAAAACGTTGAATTTGAAAAACAATTTATGATGCACACTTTTTTGTTAAAGATAACCCGACTTGAGAAAACTGGATCAATAGATAAAACTTTTATTTCGCTGGAAAATCTGATAATTAATTTCCATTTTCGAACTTAGAAGTCGATCACGTTTTTCGTGACATTTACTATTTTGCTATTCGATAGTGGAGTTTGCCTCTCTTTTAACAATAGAAATGCACTGAACTTAAAAGGACATCACAAGTCAAACCACGAAAAATCAAACTTGAGCGTGAACAAATTTTAAGACTTCCTGAAAAAACCAAGAAAAATCAGCAAGACTTATATAAGAGTACTCACTACGTTCATTACTCTTAATAAATAAAAATGATTGAACTGCAACAGTTAAATAATATAAACAATAATAGCCAGTTGCTGCGCAGGAAGCACAGAAAGTTCCGCTCACAAAATTAATTAAAAAAAAACAATTTCTTGATATTTCAAAGAACTTATTCAATCGTGATTTTAGAAATGATCGGAACGAAAGCCAAGATTTTGGGCAAGCAAAGTTTGTAAAGCTAGTAGAAAACTGTCAGGATAATCTTATTGGAGAAAATTGGGTTAAATTTGCAACTCTGGAAAAACGAAAAGAAAACAACACGGCCTATAGAATCCTAGATGTCACTTCTTCCCAAGAATAGCGGCGGTGATGTGAATAACTATGGAAAGTAAACCCAATAGAATGATTTAAAACTCGACTTTTTTCAGTTTTTTTGAGCTATGTGGATTTACTGAGAAAAAAATCAGACAAGGCTACAGTTTCATTCCATTTTGAGAAGTCTGAACAAATAATTAACGTTGCATATTGTGCCCTCAAACTTAAGTACGTTTTATTCTCTTAGACATCATGTCTAATTTGGGGGAAGATATCACTAAAAATTTTGCACCATTTAAACCAAGCAACAAAACTTAGACCAAATAGTTTTGTTTCAACATTTTTTGACATAATGGATAAACAAATAGTCAATTTAAAAGCTCGATCAACTCTGTATGCAAAATTCAGGCTCTATCAGCTTCTAAGGAAGCATTTTGATAATTAATTTACACGGTAGTTAACACCTTTCCCTAATTCAATTGTCACGCAAAACTTATGACAGGACAATTAATAAAATTATTATTGACCGTCTCCGGAGATGGTGGTGACGAAGTTGTCATTCACGTAGACATCCAAGTCCACCCTGGACCCCAGACCGCGGTGGATGGTCACTTCATTGAGTACTTTGCGCGATGAAGTCAATTTTGGGGTTGCGTGAGGACCTGAGTCACACTTCCATATCTGACCTTTGAGACGACATCGAAGCTGCACTGGAATTTGCCCTGTAAAATACGAATGATGATTTTGTTCACGAAACTCGAAACCTCGCATATGTAACATATTTCAACAGATTATTTAAATTGAGAAAATTTCAAGCTCCATTATGGCAAAGCATATTGATAATTTACCTTCATTAAAACATGTGATAAAAACTCTTATGATTGCAGCAGTATGATGAAATCATAAGAATAAGCGTGCCTGAGAATGCTTTGTCGATAAATGTCTGGAATGAGTCGGGGCACCAGACGTGAGGAGTGAGGAATCCAAGGGTGCCGAAGCGGAATGAGAGGAACACTGGGATGTGGTGGGAGTGCTGGAAGAGAGACACACTCCGCAACATCGTCCCATCTCCCCCCAGGGTGATCACGAGGTCTATCTTCTCCTGCTCCTCCTTACCACCTGACACAAATAGTAGTAAGCTGATTGATTTTCAACAGGCTCATCAAAATCAACGTTAATGTATGTAAAGTGCACCTTTGATTACATGATAAAAAGCTTGGTTACTCATAAGGAATATATGAACAAAATTAAATAAAAAACAGTAAAACATAATTAAAAACGGAAGAGGATCAAGGATCATTTTGCCAGGGTTGCTGCTTTTCAAAAGTTTTACGAATTTTATTGAAGTTGTTTGCTGTCTACAAAACAATTTTCATTTAAAAATATTTGAAAAAACCAAGTTTTGAAATGTCACCTTTACCAATAACACGTTTTCTGACGAGTATTTATGATAGCCTGCAATATTCGATATTATATTCGCTCCCTACCACAGAGATGATTATTTCGAGGCCAATCAATTGTTTTAAAAAAATTTGGAACTATCTGAAATCAAAAAATTTGAATCGAGATAGTTCGTTAAAATTCAAGATTAACTTGTTATTATTAGTTGACGCCAAACGATCAATAATTAACCTCTAGAAAATAGACTTGCTTGCTCCGACATTTTTCTTGATGTTTCAACTCACCTTTGAATGCTTGTATTCGGTCTGGTTGCAAAGCTCCATTTCCCAGAAAATCCTTGGTTAGCTCAATGACAGAGGGCTCCAGGAATAGCGTCTTCCCTTTCTACAACAAAATCTGGATCACATTAACATCCTTCCCCTAAATAGACTAAGTTAAGATCCTAATGAGCTTGACCAAACCTGCAAAAAATTTTCAAAGGCACCTTTGAGCCCAATTTATTCGAGTTTTGAGTGCTGTACATTTCAAGCTGTACCCAAAAACAGCAATTTGGCATAGTTCTGACAGTTTGCTCGTGGTACAGATCTTCTCAGTAAAAAAATTACTTTTAAGGTTTGAAAATTCCTTCCCCCTATGCAAAAATCCTTGATTTGATCCTGACTGGAACTTCTCAAGGTTGAATTTACCTATGTTTATAGCATTCTAGTGATGATCATCTTAATTTTTTTGAAAAAATATTGTTAATTATTTTTCTTGTTAATAGTTTTTATAACCTCGTTGTGGGCAGGGACCACTTAGAAAACCCAACAACTTAGAGTAATTACATCAGTGGGAAATTAACAACAACAAACAAACAAAACAAACAACGCCAGTACTTACATCAAGTATGTACTGCGCCAGTGGGACGAATGACTCTTTCACTTGCTTCTCGTCGTTGTCATACGAGCTCTTGATCAACAACACAGTCTTCGGGTAGCCTTGGTCCGAGTTCCACCTCAACAGCATCTTCAGCGACGAAATCGGAAACAGACTAGATGACTTCTTTCTAGAATATTCTAGTTTTTTCTCCAATTTCTCTTCATGACAGCTTAAAGGTTGGGAAGCAGTCGCAATCTTACGTCCATCTCTGTAATTGGACAAGTTATTCTGAAAATTGGAATCGTTGGAATAATAGTCTTCTTCGTCATCGCTTATAGCAAAATGAACGCCATATCTCTCAGTATGATGCACGATACTCATTTCGGGTCATACGGCATTAAAATCTCCGATAAAGAGTCAAAATTGTAGCTACATTCAAAAGATGGTAATATTTATTGAACTTTCAGCTATGTTTTAGTCAAAGCAACAAGCTGTATTGCAACAGCGCAAAAAAAGGTTGAGTTCAAAGAGTAGCAAATGGTCTCAAGAAAACTTTCTGCAGCTAATCACAGACAAAAATGATTCACTCAGTGGTCAAATACTTTCACAGCGAAGCGCCATCAAGCATTTATTTTGTACCACGTACTTTTTCTTTTTTATGTATCAATTATTAAATCAATGTGCAATGCTTAGCAAGAAAATTTGATTATGAAGCAAAAGAGACCAGCTTTTTAAACATTAGCGAAAAATTACTGTCTTTGTGTGGTTTTAGATGCATTTGTATTGATAATTATTCCTGGTAATTAGATTATAATAAACTGAAGATGAAAGAAACTGACATAAGTAGTCTTCAAAGCAGAAGACAACAAACAGTATGGCACCTTCTTTTAGTTGAACTTATACGGCTGGTTATATACTGTCAATCTTCACACAGCGATTATGATGCAGAACAAATACTGCTTTCATGCGAAAACCCGAAAACTCCAGCCAACCGATTTTTAAGCAAAGTTGAAGTTATTTGTGTAGGCAATGTGTCGTTATAAATGAAACAAACAACCCACATAAAACCACTATAAATGTGTTGAAAGCTTAGTTTCTTATAGTTCAAAAGCATAATTTGGAGTTTGTATCCTCCTCGATTGCATCGATTGACAATTATTTTTTTTCAAAAATGGTATGGACGACAAAAGCTGGATACGATTAAGATATTTATTGACGAGGGAAAGGACCAATATATAAGCTGCTCAGCACTTTACGGAGAGAGCCGCTGTTTCGATCCTGATTACGAATCACATGCAATTTTGTGGTTATTTTTCAAAAGTGGGTAGTTTTGCCTCACCCTCAGCCAACCAGCACGGATCATGGTGGGCCTCGAACTTTCAGTTGAAAGAAGGAGACGTAACTTTTTCACCCACGCCTTCATCAAAATCGTTACACACAGAGGCGAAGTTGCACTTCGCATACACAAGCAAAAATATGACCGACAACGCTACTGGGAAAAACTGAATGAGTAAAACTTTGGGTCTACCAAATTTCTTAAGTGACGCACGCCAATTATGAGTCTACATAATTGTTAAGTGAAGCAAGCCAATTATGACGCATTAGCAGTCAATTTGAAAAGAAATTTACCAACTAACATGCCTCAATTTATAGAGCGGACGCATTTTAACTAGTATACGAGCATTTTAACTAGTATACGAGCATTTTAACTAGTATACGAGCATTTTAACTAGTATACGAAAAAATTCATTAAACACATGCGACCCTGCTGAGGTTCGAACCCTCTTATTTTGCTGCTGGTCTCTTTCCCTACCTCTACGCTACAGAACCATAACACCTTGAAGCTACAGTGCTATTTGTACTACAATAGTGTGTGTTAATATCCTTAGTATTTGCTGTACTTAATCGCTGGTTATTGATCTTATGCATATACTGCAATAAAAGAGCACTTTCAAAAAGAGCACTAATATTTGCGACTTAGGTTGAAAAACAAAAAGAGTTCGTAATATCACACAAGCTTTGCTTGTGTAAAAAAGGATGGAATAGCTGAATAGCTCAACAACAACCCTTCCAAGAAAACAAATTTGTTTATCTAATATACAAAAATTTTAACACACCAGAAAGCTGTTTTTGTTCCATATCTCTCAAAGAGTGAAAAAGAACTATCGATTAGGGTTCATTTTTTGAATTTTTTTCCAGCCAATTATGAATACCTCAAGGAAAACTGATTGATGGTAACGTGTATCACTTTTAAGCCCTTTTTGCCGTGATTCGGATTGTAAAAAAGTTGTATCAATGTCAAGAAAAGCTGGTGTGAATATTTTCGATTTTCAGACTAAATGACACGAAATTTGCTGTGAAGCTGGCTTTTCAACTTTATTGCTATTAAAAATTTAACGGTATAAGTTGACGTGCTTGCATTATAGCTACCACTGTTTTTTGCCTTTTTCATCCATGTTTTAAGTTCAAAAAGAATTTTGAACATGAGATTTATTCGAATTCCACTCTTCGCGGAATATAAACTGCCTAAACCAAATAGAATATCATCGGTAAAAAATCGCTGCGAAATGCTGTCCATGTTAACCGTTAAACTTTAAGCATGCGAGAAGCGACGCTTATCGTCGCACCCTTTGGGACACGTCAAAAATTTAGCATTGCAAGGTAGCAGACAAAAATGAAACGAAGGCCACTGTGTGGATTTTTTTGGTGGAAATATGACAACCACAACTAGAATTTCGAATATTTGTCTCAAATGATGTTCAATTTGAAGAAGACACGTTCAGCAACACAATCACCGGCATTTAAAAGTTTAAAAAAAAAATGCTTGCAGCAGAATGAAGGTCCATGCTGTGGCAACTAAGACGGCAAATATAGCATGCGATAGAAAAAAACTTACGATACAATACAAAAAATAGCATGACGAACTAGCATAGAGAAATTGAGATAAAAGCCGCTAAAGCAAGATCTATCAAATTTTACATATCTTTGTTTTGAACAAAGTTCTTTAGTTGAAAAATAAACACGGCAAATACAAAACTGAAAGTTAAATTTGCATACAAACGAAGCGGTATTAAAGCCGACGGAGCGGTATTAAAGCAGACACCCGTTGAGCAAAGAAACTGTTTTCACAAAAATAAATCTTTCAAAATATATCTTACTTATTCAACCCCCTAGTAAAATCACGCATAGGAAGCTTATTTCGCTCATCCAAGGATGCAATATGATGCCACTAAGCCAATTAAAAATAAAATGAAAAAACTTAAAAGCCGAATTACGGAAAAAAAGTAAAAAAAACGAACCGAATCGGAGTTGGCAAACTTAAAACCAACCTTAAAAAACAAATATTGAATAAAACGCGTGTCTTAAAGCAAGCGCGTTTAAAATGTCTGACGAAGTGAACATTTGAGAAAATTATTCAGTGATTTTGTTGGACAAGTTGCTTACAAGAATAAGTATATGTTCAGAATTATTAGGGCTTGCTAATCATGAGCATTATCAACGCTTACGTGAAAATTCGAAGTACGATTATAGGAGCAAAAAAAAATTTTAAATATAAATTTTTCATGTTCAAAAAAACTAAACTTGCGCAGAAAATCTTGGAATTCAATTAGCTCCACCAATGAAGCTTTATAAACGCCATTCAGGAAATGCAAAGAAAGCTCAACCTTCAAAAAGAGTGTTACGGATATTAAGCCGACAAAAAATTAAAAATCGGACGATAGTCCGAAAAGCTGAAAATTTCTACTTTGAAAAAAGGCCCCGGCTGGAGTCGTCTTAAGCTAGCGTGTTATCTCTACATCAGATGCGCTCGGTGTATGATTAGTTTTGCAACTAGAAAGAAGCCAAGTAAATCATCTGCGGAATCTTGTGAACTAAACTGTTTTTGAGAAGAATTCTAATATCCGGTTGCAACACCCCAGCTAATCGCAAGGGAAAAAAATGATAGCAAAACTGAATATTCACAAATTAGAATCATCGCGAAGTTTTAACGCCCTCACTAAACTTGTAACGACAGTTGGTGCTCGGAGCACTTGATACCAGGCTGCCAATTGGAAAAGAGAATTTACCAAGAGAAAACGCTTCAATTTTTCAGAAAACTTTCTTGACAAACAAAATCCAGCGCTTTCATTTATTTTGTCATTGTTTTGAAGCTCTTTTGATGTTTCTGAGATATAAGCCACTTGCGATACAAACAAACAAAGCATGCCAAACTAGCAGGCACAAATTGCTACGGAGGCCTCAAAGTCGGAAAAAAAATTTAAATGTCGACAAAAATTGAATCTACCATAGTTCGCTTTGCAGTTAAAAAATCACGCGGTAACAAAACCGACAAATTTTGAGCAGAAACTCATTGAGGCAAAAAATCATGAAAAAACTTGACAACTTAGAAAATTTACCCTTTTATAGTAAAAAAAGATTAACACGTAAGAAACTTGTTTCGGCCATCCAACGGCGCAAAATGCGGCCACTAAGCCTATCAGGCATGAAGCGGAAATACTTTCAATCCCAAAAAAAGACGAATAATATTTCGAATCAGATTTGGTGAAATTAAAAACAACATCAAGAAATATTGAATAGCAGAAATGATCAAAATATATCTGTTCATTGACGAAATGGCAGATTTGAGAAAACGATTGAGTAATTCTGATTGACAAATTGTTTATAAAACAATATTGTTCCAAATTGATTACGCTTGCTAATCACGAGCATAATATTCAAAACTGTTGACATAAATTTTACATAAGTACGAATCTTTCTATTGAAATTTATTTAAAAATATTTTCGAAAAAAAAGGCGATTTTCCTTTTAAAATGTGGCGAAAATTTTCGTCAAAACCTTTATGAAAAAAATTTCATTTATCACACACATAGGATCTACGATAGCTATATAAATAGCGTATGCAAACTAGACTACATAATTTGAAAACTAAACCGACAGAGCTTCTAGATCTAGCATGGTTAGTAACTAGTACCCCGTAGTTACATTTGAATTTTCATGAAATTGGGCATGTCAGCAGCATAGCAACATTACCAGTGGTTCAATTGATTTTGTTAAACTAGTTATTGACCCAAAAAAATCTATACTCCGATTTGATAACGCTTGCTAATCGCAGCATAGACATTTAAAATTAGGACATGGAGACATAAAAAAAAATCTCAAAATTTCAATTATAAAACTTTTAAGCAATGAAAACCAAAATTAGTTAACATAGATCGAAATGAAAATCACAGCAATTAGCAGTGATTCAAAAAAAATTATTGAAAATTTTGATTTGAAAATTTTTCAGAAAACCAAGCTTATTTATGCTTCTAGACTAATCGACCATTCGCAATCGAAAAAAAATCATTTTGTGGGAGGAAAAACTCTACATCAGATGCGCGCGGTGTAAGATTAGTTTTGCAACTAGAATGAAGCCAAGTAAATCATCTGCGGAATCTTGTGAACTAAACTGTTTGTGAGAAGAATTCTAATATCCGGTTGCAACACCCCAGCTTATCGCAAGGGAAAAAAATGATAGCAAAACTGAATATTCACAAAATAGAAACATCACGAAGTTTTAACGCCCTCACTAAACTTGTAACGAGAGTTGATGCTCGGAGCACTTGATACCAGGCTGCCAATTGGAAAAGAGAATTTACCAAGAGAAAACGCTTCAATTTTTCAGAAAACTTTCTTGACAAACAAAATCCAGCGCTTTCATTTATTTTGTCATTGTTTTGAAGCTCTTTTGATGTTTCTGAGATATAAGCCACTTGCGATACAAACAAACAAAGCATGCCAAACTAGCAGGCACAAATTGCTACGGAGGCCTCAAAGTCGGAAAAAAAATTTAAATGTTGACAAAAATTGAATCTACCATACTTCGCTTTGCAGTTAAAAAATCACGCGGTAACAAAACCGACAAATTTTGAGCAGAAACTCATTGAGGCAAAAAAACATGAAAAAACTTGATAACTTAGAAAAATTATCCTTTTATAGAATAAAGATTAACACGTAAGAAACTTGTTTCGGCCATCCAACGGCGCAAAATGCGGCCACTAAGCCTATCAGGCATGAAGCGGAAAAACT